TTTCACAGGGATAAAAAGTGCAAAAAGTATGTAAGGAGTATTAAACACTATCATAAGTAGTCAGCATGGATTCACCAAAGGGAAATCATGCTTGACCAACATGATAGTGTTCTGTGTCATCACTGGCTGGATAGATGGGGGGAGAGCAATGGATGCTGTGTGCCTTGACTTCAGCAAGGCATTTGGCACCATGTCCCACAACGTCCTTGTTATGAAACTTAGAAAGTGTGAGGATAGATGAGTGGATGGTGAGGTGGATTGACAACTGGCTGACTGGCAAAGCTCATAGAGTGGTCATCAGTGGTGCAGAGTCTGGTTGGAGGCCTGTAACTAGTGGTGTTCCCCAGAGGTAGGTGCTGGGTCTGATTTTGTTCAACATCTTCATCAGTAACGTGGATGAAGGGATAGACTCTACCCTCAGCAAGTTTGCTCAGGATACTGATCTGGGAGGAGTGGCTGACGTGCTGAAAGTCTGTGCTGCCATTCAGTGTGACCTGGAAAACTGGAGATTTGGGCAAGGAGGAATCAGATGAAGTTTAACAAGAGCAAGTGTAGGGTCTTGCACCTGGGGAGAAATAACTGCATTTAGCAGTACAGGTTAAGGAGTCACCTGCTAGAGGGGAGCTCTGTGGAGAAGGACCTGGGTGTCCTGATGGTTGGCTATGAACCAGAAGTGTGCTCTTGTGGCCAGGAAGGCCAGTGGTATCCTAGAGTGCATTAAAAAGAGCATGGCCAGCAGGTCAAAGGATGTTATCCTCCCTCTCTGCTATGCCCTAGTGAGGCACATCTTGACTACTACCAGTTCTGGATTCCTCGGTTCAAAAAAAGACTAGAATCTCCTAGAAGGAGTCCAGTGGAGGGCCACAAACATGATAAGGGGCCTGGTGCATCTCCTGTATGAGGAAAGGCTGAGTAACCTGGATCTCTTCAGCCTGGGGAAGAGAAGACTGAGAGGAGATCTGATCAATGTTTATAAATATTTAAACGGAGGTGGAAGGCAAATACATGAGGCCAGGCTCTTCTTAGTGGTGCAGGACAAGAAGTAATGGCCTAAAACTTAAACAAAGGAACTTGTATACTAGCATGCGGAAGAACTTCTTTATGATAAGGGTGATGTAGCACTGGAACAAGTTACCCAGAGAGACTGTGGAGTTCTGTGGAGATTCAAGACCCAGCTGGACGCCTAATTGTGTGACCTATTGTAGGGTACCTGCTTTATCAGAGGGGTTGGACTCGATGACCTCTTGAGGTCCCTTCCAACTCTTGTGATTCTGTGATTCTGTAAACAGTCCCAATGAGCAGTTCTTTAACTCCTTCCATGAGGTAAGGGAAAAACAAAAAACATGCTCAAAAGGTTCACTTATACATGATTTCATTATATTGTGTCACTTCATTCCTTCCTCCCCCCCAATAACTTTTCTGCAAATCCAGTGGTGGGTTGTTGCCTTACTCTGAATAAGGAAATTAATGCTCTAGTCCAAGCTGAATAGAGATTTAAAACTACCTCCATCCTTCTAGGGGGGTTTGCATTCTTCCATGCTTTCTAGTATGTGATTTAGTATTCACAAAATACACTGTTGTGTAAAATCTTCACTTGTTTAGGAAGTGACACCGTTTTCATCCTAAAACATCCCCAAGGCTACTTACTAAAACAAATGTCAAATGTCTGTTGAAAGGAGCATGTGCTTACATAGACATTGTCACTTTCTAGCAGCTAGCTGGTTTGTCCTGTTTTTAAGCCCTAAGATGGTTCAAATATTCAGTGTCTGTCAGCTGGTGCCTTTTATCTGTTATATCTTAAAAATGGGCCTGGTCTCTAATCACATGTTGTCTAAAGCAGGGAATTATTAAGTGCTACTTCATTTGAAACAGCATCTCATTACTATTAGCCATTTTTTAATAGAGGAAATGTTCCTGCTATTTTGTTGTTGCTATTATTTTTGTTTTACAAATATATGTATTATGGAAATGCCTACCTCAAAAGGCATGTGAGCTCAAACATGGTCTGCTGCTATGAAGTGGGTGATTTTTTGTGTGCATCAGTCCGTGATGGAGGGAAGGCAGCATTCTCGCTGAGTTTCAGCTCAGAATTGGTATCATCAGGCAGGACTGAAATAGAACACATTGACAAGGAGAAATTTTCTCTAGTTCTGTTTCACATGGGGTAAACATACCACATACCTAAACTAATCTTCAGACCTAAAAGATGTCCTTGACATAGTAACATTGCGTAAGCTAAGTTTTCCCTCTTGATTAAGCAGAGGTTATGGGTGTAATGACTTTAGAAACAATCTGGTCTGAACAAACATGAGTTTCTCTTGAGATGTTTGTGGAAGCTTCAGTAGTTAGACAGTTAACAGTTGGGATAATCCAATTATTTTATCCTGTGTTGAGTAGCAGTTTCATAGTGCAGAAGAAAATCTGGAAGGTAAAGTGGATTCTATGCCTTCATGTCAATCAGCTGGTATGTATGGGTATGCTGGATAGCTGACAGGTAGAAAGCCTGGGTTATTTCAGCATCTGGTATGTTGTTGTAGCCCTGAACACAGCTGTTTGTAGTGGTTTCAGACTGGTGGCAGCCGATCTTCACCATGCTACTTTCTTACTCCCCCTATTCAAAACAACTGGAGAAGAAAATATGATGAAAAAGGGCTGAAGGGTTGAGAAAAGGACGAGGAGAACACTCGTCAATTACTGTCACAGGCAAAACAGACTCTGCATAGGGAAATTAATATAATCACCCAAGCGGCATAGAGTAACAGTATGGGGGCTGCAGTCAGTCCATAATGCTTTGTCTCTGCTGCTCCTCTCTGGTTGCACTCTTTTCCTGCTGTATGTGAAGTCCTTCCCATGGGATCCCACGTGGACTTCTCATGTGCAGCTCTCCCAGCACTGCTGCAGCATGGCTCTGTACCACAGGGCACCCTTCAGACACTGCTCCACATGGGTCCCTACCAGCGGCAGCTGCAGCCTAGGCTGCTCCTCCAGGAGCTCTCCATGGGCTGTGCCTCCTTCAGACCTCATCCACTGCTGCCCTTTTTGCTCCTGCACGGCTGCACGTGGGGATCCAGTAGTGTCCTCTACATGTTTTTCCTGTTATTTCTCTCAAGTATCATCCTTGTCTCTTCTTGCAGAGGTCACTCTTGCACCTGCCACTACCAAAGCCTTCCCAGTAAGCCCCACACACAGCTATCATATGTCATCTTACTGATTCTAGACTTCATATTTGGGAAAAAATGCCCAGTGCTGATGACAAAATCCCCCAGCATATCCAAGAGTGGGTGTTATGCTTAGCCAAAGGAAATTTTTGAGGCTTTCAGGTATTCTGACAAGAATGCTAGCTTCTTTAGAATTAAATGAAAAAAGCTCAGAATATGTCCGCACATCAAGATTAAGGTGCAGTCATAAAGGTCTGTATAAAAAAATCTTTTGAGTGTTTTTCTCTTCCCTGCTTCCCCAGCACCAGAGTATATCTTACTTGGAACAGTGCTCTTTATCAACCTGCTTGTTGTACCACTGCATTGTTTTTCTGTAAGAACCCCAGTTATATGCAGTGTATTATCAAGATAGAAATGGTGCTATCAGAGACAATTTTAACACTTTTGTTGTTCTCATTTTCAGTTTGTATTGCACTTTCTTTACCCTTTTGGTTTTCTCTTTTTCAATAAAACTTTTTTCTTTTTTTCTTCTTCTTTTTTTTTTTTTTTTTGACAGAGAAAAACACAGAACCATAGAATAGCTTGGGTTAGAAGGGCCCCCAAGGACCCCAAGCCCCCTGCCACAGGCAGAGCTGCCAGCTGCTAGATTCTCAGAGTAATCTCAGCATAATTCTCAGAGTAAGTCTGTTGCCCACCTACCTTGTCCCTGAATGGTGGATTTGCAAACGGAAATTCAGAGCACCCTGACCCATCAAGCATCTTGTTTGTTCTGTGGTTGCTGGACTTAGCTCTCCATTTTATGCCAGAGCACTGTGCTTCCAAGCACATCATGATGTTAGGACCTGACTGGGATGGCAGTACTGCTCTGCTGGGGAGTTCGAGGAAGAATTTAGCCATAACAGAAGCAAGATATGATTCACACGTTGGTTGTCTTACTTTGCTTACAAATAACTTGGCCTTAATGAATAGAAATTCCGTTTTCAAGAACCTAAGAATAAGTGTAGTGGTCTAGCAGCTTCTGCTGTTCTTTGTTTGTCTTTCTGTTCAAAAATAAATGCAAAGAAACAAAGTAGAATTTTTCAAGTAGCTTCCTGATGATTTTCTCCTAACAGGGTCAAGTATGGACCAAGGTACCTCTTCTGTTTTTGTTTGTTTGTTTGTTTAAGTTGCTTTTTGCTTAGAATAAACAAAACAAAACAGTGAAATTTGTCTTATTTCCAAGTGGATTCACATTAACTAGTCATTCTTCTTTCTCACTGTACTTAGTGGGCTCTTCTAAGATGTATCATCCTAAATTAAATCTGTAGTAAGTTAATATACCACTTCTAAAAAGCCCTTGTTTCTCTGAAGTGGCTGTGATTAAGTGTAACGGGTGGCTTGCTGAAGTTCAGATAGAGTACTTGTTGTTGGGTGAGTCTTACCGTTAGTCCTGTCCTTTGAAGTCTTTCCACTTTTAAAATTTTAACTAATTTTCTACTTTCCATTTTCAATTATTTAATTTCAGAAAAATAGATTGATCGTCCCACACCTGGTCCTTATTATTATGGAAGTATTACAAAGTGAATACAGTCGTCTAAGCTTATTGCAGTAGGAAGAGAATTGCAGATTGTAATGCACTAGAGAGAGCCCTTGTGGGAATATAATTGTTATCCATTAGAGTAAATAAACAACAACATAGAAAACGTGAGTTGCACTTACTCCCTGAGATAACTTGATGGTGTGCAACTAAGTAGGCATTTTTGATTTGGTGGCTTTCAAACCAATACTTGATTAAGTCTTTCTTAAATCAGACCACAACAGTAATCTCAAAATCACTTCCATTTGTTTTTTTTTAACTTTCAGATAGTTTGAAGTAAATACACCCAGCTGTATTCTGTGGCACTGAACTACAGTTATTCCAGGAATGATTCTGATTCTGCAGCTGCTTATGATTGCAGTCTGAAGGCCTGCAGCGTGTCAGAGAGCATCAGCCAGGACACAGGGGCATTCAGTAGCCAGAAAAATGAATGGCTTTTTCGAGGAAGAAACAAAGAGGAAACCTTTGTGTCTCATGTAGTTGGAAGGCAGAGCAATACAACTTTGACACTTGGTTAACTTAAAGGAACATTTTTTGAAATACCTCTTACTGTGAATCTTGTAATTCAGACCCAGAAGTGCCTTTGGACCTGTGCAGATAATTCACTGGAAGAATTGATCAGACAAAGCACTCACTGAAAGTGTCACTGAGGAATCATGGCGAAGCACTTGGAGATCATCAATCTGTCATTTTTGTTGGAACATGAAAAGGAGATGATACTGGGAGTATTGAAGAGAGATGAATATCTGAAAAAAGTTGAAGATAAAAGGATAAGGTAAGACTTTTATTATTGTAAAGGTATATATATAATTCTGTAATATGGGTATTTATAAGTTCCTCAAAGAAGATTTCCTAAATGCTCTGGAAGAAGGATCAATGTTGTGAGATGGCACAGTTAATTACAGATCAAAATGTGTTTCAAAAAACATATATTTTTGCTAGTGTGGCCCTTTAAGAATAGAAGATTTTGATGCATCCATTGCTTCAAAGCAAAAGAAAGTGAATCTTAAACTTCAGTCTGAGACCATTTGTTGGTGCAGGGAAGTTCTCTAAAAAGGGCAGTAAATTTGTTCTAGTGATCATTTCATATAAGACTTATCTACAATGTATTGCCTATTCATATTTCAAACTGATATCACTTAGAACTGCAGTACTGCTTGGAAAGCTGCCATTTGATCTTCATAATGTTGTAGAAAGCTTAGCATGTAGTGGAAATATAGCATAATGAAATCTGATGCCTTGCTCTATAAGTACAGCCACATTGTCTTGGCTGACTATAATACTACGTTTAAAATCCTACTATTTACTTTAGTTATTAGATTTACTAATAAAGAATCAAACTGAGGATGTGGCTCAGAACACGCTAACGAGAGAAGTAAAGACTCAGAGTGTTGAATAGAGTTTGTGTATTCTTTTCAGAGGAAAACAGATGAAGTAAAAGTTGAGAGAGAAATGTGTGGAGGCAGTTTGAGATCCAGATGGATGACTTCAGTTACTTCAGCAAAGTACCAGCTCTTAAAGGTTTAAACACTTTTCCAGTGTGTTGCCACTGCTTCCAATTGCTTCTCTGCTGTCCTTCTATCTGATGTTGGTTCTGAGAAAGGCTTAGTGTGGACAACACGCAGCACTCAGTGTTGATGAGGCTGCTAAGTGCAATGGATTACAAAGGGAATATTTCCAGCATTTGCTGGTTTCTGTACATGTCCTCCGAGGCCAGCCTGCATTGTTCTTCTCTTTGATTTGCCAGAGTGCATTATAGATGTACGTTCAGCACGTGCTGAGGCTTCTTTTGTATGAAATTATTTTGGGAATCTATGCAGAGTTACCCACTGGTTTTGGAAGGCTTTGTCTCTTGAGATAACCAAGTCCAAGTGCAGTGCCCCTTTTCGTTTGCAATCCTTTTAGAAGAGTGAACGTAGCTACTCATCTAAATGGAGCAGGCTAAAGCTGGCATCTCTCTCCTAGAACGAGACTGGAAAGAACAGAGTATCTTTGTGGTGGAGTGGGCGAATTAATTGTTTAACCTTCTTCATCATTCATCAGACGAAGAAGAAAACAGAACACAAGAAAACAGATGGAGCACTGTTTGTTCCAGGCATTGTGTTCTATTTTGTAACAGGATAAGCATTTCAGTGTACTTCAGTTTTTGAAGGTGGTGGTCTTAAAATGTGAGCCGTGCAGTAGTCATCTGTGAAAGGCTTTGGTATTAAGTGCAGGAGTGTAATCAGATCACCAGCTTACCAAATACTCTAAAAAACTCTTTGCTTCTGCTGTTGTGTCCCAGTCTCATGTAGGATATGACAGCAACACGTAAGTTAAAAGTCTTGTTGGTTTTTTTTTTGTTTTGTTTTCTTTCTTTTTTTTTAATGATGTTTTAAAAAATCCCTCTTACCTGTTTTTGTTTTTGTTTTTCTGTGGTACTGCAAGTCACTTTGTCAAATCTACTGAGAACCCAGAGCAGCTCCATAGGATGTGGTTTGATTAAGGGAGAGGTAGTATTAGACTCATCAGTGTTTTGGTACAAATGGAAGGAGCACCTTAGAAACATTGTTAATCTGTAATACGGTGCTAGTTAGGCTAACTCAAGTTGTGATGCTATACATAATTCTGGCACCTATATTAACCAGTTGGCTTGAAATTCAAGGCATTTCTGAAGTATTGTCACTAGACCATACTGTGTCTGACAGTGATGGAATATGGTCCATAAAAGCCTTTCAAGATACACAGCAATACAAAGCTGGGTGGGTAACTGCTTCCTGGGAAACATCATAGTTTTTTTCTTTCTGAATACAGCTTGGCAGGGATATCTTTAATTATGGCTCATAAGTGTACTTCAGAGGAACATGTGCTGTCTTTGGAATTCCATTTGGTACAATCTGTTACATATTTTATTGCAGTACCTTCAAAAGAACAAATCCTTTTTTAAGTACATTTTTAATTCTGGCAAGATACTTGCTTGAACACTGTACAGAAGAATGTTTATCTGTCTGCTCCACTCTGAATCTCTGTTGGTAATAATGGTGGGTTTTGTTTATTTCTTTGTTTTTTTTTCTGTTTCTATGTCTTCAGAAGCCATAATAACTTGAGAGGGTCTTTGGATTCAATGAGGAAGCAACAGTAGGCATAGAAGGATATCCTAGTAATGAAATTGTTAAGAGTTAGATTCACAGTCACTACTCATGCTTGCATTCTGAAATGCAGGTGGTTGTTCTTGTATTTTTATATCGTGTAAATATTTCACCTACATGTGAGAAACACACAGAAGGCAGCAAGGACTCTTTCTCTGCTCTAGCTTTGATAGTATAAAAAAGCAACACATTTTAATAAATGCTTAGCTCTAGTTATGTTTTTACACCTATGTGTTTTGTATAACTGGAAATTTTGTTTGAATATAAATTTAAATTTGCAGATTAATTGTGAAAATAGCATTTTGTTTCTTAAACATTGTATAAATCAATCAAATAATCATCATTGTTTTCAAATGATAAGATTGTTTGGGTAAAATAATTCAGTGACATAGATCTAAAATAGCTACATAAAAATAGTGAAATTAATCATACTGAGGGAGCAAATGTTTGGGTTTTTTTTGTTTTTGTTTTATATTATACATTTGAATTACACTTTTTTTATACATTTGTATAAAAATTGTATACATTTATATACATATATTATACATCTATATATTATACATTTTTATATTATACATTTGAATTGCTAGGAGAAATTTGTATCCAGAATGTGTCAGTCAATACACTCTGAATTGACTGTTCTTAATGGGATATGTATTTCTTTTCAACTCTTTTACTGTTTTTGAAGTTTTGTTCTTCTAAGACTCGTTTTAGGCAGGTTGCTCTGAAAGCAATGCCTCCTATTTCTTTCCATGGAAGCTAAAACAAGTATGAAGAGCACAATAACACTATTTAATAGAGCACGTTCTCAGCTACAAAACTCTGTTTTTCAACATAATCAGCACCAGGAGCTGTGTGTTTTCACCAACAATGAACATGAGCAAGTATGCTGCACTAGTGAAGATTGCACTAGCAGAGATAGCCCACTGTCACTATTGCCACTGCTGAAATACATCACCCAGCACCTCACTGTGCTCACATCCACTGCTTGGTCGTCATCGGCAGTCAACAAGTGTTGATGAACATCAGTGAGGGCATTTCTTTTTGCATGAAGGAATTCAATTGCAGCCCTTTTCTTCATCTGCACTTCCATGTCAGACACCATTGTATCAGAGTGCTCCTCTGCTGTCATCTTTCACACGGCAACAAAAGGGAATGGAATGTTGGTGGGACGGTTCAGCCTCTACTGCTATACCAACGTGTGCTTCTGATGTCGTGGGCCAACCTAATAAAACAGGAGGCATTACTTTTGAGCAGCTTTCATGCAGTAGATCTGTGATGTTACAATTCATGAAATCAAAACTAAATCAGAAGAATCTATGCACAAGCTGTAGTTTATCTGTTTGTTGGTTTGTCTCTATTCCAGCAGCAGCTCTGCTGCCTCCTTCCAGGTCTGGTGTTACAGAGGCACCTGGGTCTGATGGTCACAGCATTTGGAGCTAACTCTCCACCTTGGTGTTAACATGCTGTCACAGAGCAAACACGCATGACACGCTTACTTGCTAATTTACACTGCTTTCTTACCTTGAGTGGATTCCTAGACAGCTTTGTTTACAAAACAAAAGCTGTGAGCTGCGAGTTGCCAGGCTTTTAGAAGAGAGGACACCAGTGTAATAATTGCTGAACTGAGTAAACAATTAAAGAAAATGCCAATTTCTTACAAGAATAAGGCTTGGTTGGGTAATTACCTTCATTGTTCCCACAGTGTTTAGGTTGCCAAAAGTAGTACAAATATTGCATGAATTCTTGTCAGGGAAGGTTAGCATCCCTCTCTCTTCAGTTTATTAAAATGGTATCTCTTGAGCAGTCAGAACAGATCCACAGAAGCAATTTAAGGTTTTATCTCCATTATGGTGTAGGAGAATCTGTTAGCATGGATACACCGTGTGGTAACTAAAGGCAAACAGTAGATCAAGTGTTTAAATTTGAGTGACAGTAGATGTGGTTTACCTGGTGATTATATATTTGGACTTGTAAGCACAAAATGACTGCAAATTAGTGTATAGTAGATATAGTGTATGTTTTTTGCAGCGCTGGCTATGAGTAATATTTTAAGGAAGGAGGATTTGTGTTAAAGGACATTGTTGATCCCTCTGTGGATGGGAAGAAAGGAAATTGGTTGTCTGGCAGCTGCGTCATTTGGAAATTGGGCAGTTCCACGTCATATGTTGTTACTCTTTGAACCAAAGACTGTTCAAAATGAAGTAGCTCCTACTGCTAAGAAGGATACTCTAAGGATAAAGCTGCCTGTTCTGTGCCCCCTTGTTCCTCAGGAATGAAGGCCTTCCATTTATGAAAGGATTTCTGATGGTACTTTATTCTGATACACTCATACTGTTTCATCAAAGGTTAGTAAGAAACCAACAGATAATTTGAAGTTTTGGATGGTTTTGGTTTTTTAAATCCTGGTAATAGTTGTTTGATGAGAGGATAAAGAACTTGCTCAGAAAAATATTGATCTGTGGAAGCGTGTGAATGTTAGTCTCCAATATGATCTCAGTTGACACATCTCCTTTCCTCTGTTCTGTCCCCCATTCTGCTATTCATCACTGCAATTCTCTTCTCCTTTGCAAATTCCCTCTCTATCTTCCTATTTCCTTTCATTACCACCAATTTATCTCCATAGTTAAATATTCATAAGGTAGTTTTATCATTAAAAAAATGTATTCCATAAGCAAAATGTGAAATGCTTATAAAATAGGGGCTTAAGAAGCTAGGTTTTTACAATGAGAGGAAATGCCAATGTAAATTGGTAATAGCTCATCCTTTTGTGAATTGTCAGTAGCAGTTACTGTTACTTTCTAGGTATCATATCCGACATGAGTGAAGACTTTTTTTTGTTTTCTAGTGAATTTTTTTTACAACTGTTTAAACTCTGGAAGATTTAGAGTGGCAGAATAAAATTAAGGATACTTGAATTCTGTGCTTTGTATCTGTTAAGATGTAAGTGTGCCTGCCTTGCCTTGTAGCACTAAACCTGTATTTATAGCAGTAAAACTATTCAATTTTTATAAACTTGTGGTATGCATGTTCTTTAAGGTAAAGCATGCTAAGGAAAAAAATGGCTCACTTCCTCGTTTCTTTGCAAGGCTATTAGGGTTAGCAAATGTTCCATCTCTGGTGGCTTCATTTATGTAGGAATGAGATGAGTGCCTGTGATTCTTGAAGCCACAAGGCTTATCCATAGGGGAGGGTGAGACTCCTTCAGGGATATTTTGTGCTTCTTGCAGGTGCTGGGTGATGGTGCCTACAGCTATGACTACTGGCTGTTTCTTGGCTTTACTCTTGTTGAATTGCATTTCTTTCTGCCTTCATGTTTTACCTCACCTTTACAGAGTGCTAGACTTTCATATTTACATGTTTGATGGACCTAATACAGGGTAATTTCTTAGATTTGCTTTAGTCTGTCTTTTTTGTCTGCTTTGGTGCTTAATGTGATATTTTAGGCCCCAGTGCTAGCCGAAGCACTAGTTACAACAAAGCTCCTCTTCAATGCATGTACAGTATTTTGTCAAACAGAAAAGAGATCTTAATATGAATTCACAGTTAGAGGAATGACAAAATATTCCATTATCCTTGCCTTTAACAGTTTTCTTCTTAATATCTTCTGTCAAATGCTATCATAATAGATGACTTAGAAATCTCAGTGTATTACCGGATTCCTTCTCCAGCAGCTTACTAATTTGACTTCCGGACTTTATATTCTCTTTAATATTAATAGGAGATCGATAAAGACAAATCGTTATTTAGTATTCGAGATTAAAATTGTCTAACTGCAGGATTCATTAGATTCCCTTAAAATTAAGGAGAACTCAAATGTTAGAATGGCAAAATTGGATGTTTACAGTACAGCCGGTTCCTGTATTGGGGGATAAAGGATGTTGATAAATCAGTTCAGGTGCATGGTGCACTTGTTATCCATTTTCCATACTGTGTAACTGGTACTACTAGGCTGTGAGTGTTTAGAGGTTGTTACAATGGCTTTCTTTTTCAGATGAGTCACCTACTCCCTCCTAACCTTTTGTTTATTATTGTCTTAAGATACAAATATGTTTGTTACTATCAGATAAGTTCCTTTTTTGCTGATGTAGTAGTAGTTGCACTTTTCAAACTTTTCAATTTTCCTAAGGACTTAACTCGTGCACCCATGAAATTGCTGTTTTTAAATTAGGTCTTTAAATGCAATTATTTTTATCCTGTAGAGTCGATGGTGGAGCTGATAGTATGAAAGTTATGTTATTTAAACCAATATTCTCCTTTAAGGGGAAAAAAAAAAAAAAAAAAAAGATGGTGTTATGCTATGATATCATTTGGTTAGCCATCCAAAACCTCAAACTGTCCGTTAGTTTCTTATTAATCTTTGATGAAATCAACTATATGCACAGTATAAGCGTATCAGAATAAACCACCATGGGAAATCCTTTCGTAAATGGAAGATCTTCATTCCTGAAGAACAAGGGGCACAGAACAGGCAGCTCTGTGGTTAGTTGGTTTTGTTTCTTAAGATTTAAGAATTTTTGAATAGCCATTGCAGAACTGCATTTGTATTCGCAGCAAACTCTACCATGTCACAGTCTCAAATGTTCACTAATTACAGCAAAGACTTTCTTTTCCTAACCTGGAGGCGTGGAAAAATCTCAGTTTTGAGCTGCATTCAACCTGGGCTCAGCATGACTTGAATTATTGATAACGTACAGGCGAAGATAGTTTGACAGTTGTCCAGAACTGTTCAGCTGCCTGCAGTCATGTATACTGATCTACCACAAGACTGCATACTTTCCTCTTGACTGCTCATCTGAGAGGTTGGGGGATAGATTTATTCTTCTTTGTCATATATGTGTCAAAAGTACAGTTAATATATGGAGCACATATTTCATGACCTTATTTGTATGTGTGGACATATTGATTGATCTCCAAAAATTTTATCCAAATAACACTCAGAAATCAGTTGTAAATTAAAGGCTTTTATTTTCTTCTTTCTAGGAAGTTGAAAAATGAGCTTCTGGAAGTGAAGAGGAAAGGTGGAAGCCGACACTGCCAACAGGACAACAGCAGGGTCTGCGTTCGCTGTCAGAAAGGACTGGGCTTTATCTTTGACAGAGGAGACCTGTGCCAGACCTGCAAACTTAGAGTCTGCAATAAGTGTCGTGCAGTGGGAACTGATGGGCAGTGGAAGTGCTCAGTGTGCGCCAAGATTGCGTAAGTTGTGTGGCTTTCATAAATACATGTAGAGATTACCTCTCTGTAGGTAATTGTATGCTGGTGTCACTGTTTTATCTCCTCTTAGCACAAGAGCATATGCATAGCAGTTATACAATGGAAGCTTTTCTGGTGTTTTTATTTGCTGCACTGTTTTCCAGTGTTGTATGTTCAAAATCACTTATTTAATATATACTTGGAAGAGCATTTCCCTGGATTAGTATAGTAATATGGAATTTTGTAACTAGTCTTAGTAAGATAACCTTGAAGGAAAGTTACATTGTGCATTACAACTTGGTTAAATATCTTAATGTTCTTACACCTCAGCTCCCACATCCGTAAGGAAATTACATATCCAAGGAAAAGACATGATGCAAGGGTAGAAATTGGTGATTTCTTAGGAGGAGTTTTTCATTATTTAATAGGGGGGTGTTGGGCTTGTTCTTCTGTTGTTGTTGTAGGTTTGTTGGTTGGTGTTTTTTTGTTTTTGTTTGGTTTTTACAGATCATGAAATAAGGTTTTTTTCTAAATTGTATCAAAAAGTGAACCCAAAATGGTAGTTATGTCAGACTTTGGCTACCTAGACAGTTAATGAAAAACTAATGGAGCAGGGCAGAGAGTTTAAGGTTTGTGTCTCCCAGCTTCAGCTTTAGAAAGCTAATGTCTAAATTTGTAGCCAAATGCTGTAAGCCCTGCATTGGTGCAGATGCATCCAGAGGACATCATTTCACCTCTTCTAAGATGAGTCACGTTCAAGCACTTGATTTTATGAAATGTTAAACTCTTAGAGGCATGGCTGATCTCCTTGTAGTCTACAACCAGTTTCTGGGGTGATCTGAATTCTGTGCCTTTCAGACTTTGTCATTATGAGGTCTAGGCGAGATGAGAGAGGAGAATAGCAAACACCATTCTGCTTTTTAAAAATAAATGAAGGAAGAGCACGGAATTTGTTGGCCCTGTCAGATTACCTTTATTTTCTCTACAAATGATCACAGTACTGTTTGAGAGCTAAGAAGAGCTGACAGGATGATGAGTAAGAGCTGGCTCAAGAACAAATAATGTCATAAACTGTTTAATTTCTTCCTTTGAAGGGGTGGCAGATCTCATGGATAGAAGAGGATGCATAAATGTCTTGTAACTTGACTTCAGTGAACCTTTGATAGCTCCTATTGTACTGTTCCCGTGAGTTTATAAAGAAGGGAGACTGTGCTCTGGAATAAATTCTGTCAGTGTAATTGCAGACGTGCCTGGAGAACTACAAAGCTCTCTTGTCAGAGTAGTTGCTGGCATTTCATTGTCAAAATAAACAGTGGTTTAGAGCAGAGTATTCCCTGGATTTTTACTGTTCAATGTTTTAGTTTGGGACGTGGTGCAGCAAATGAGTTTGCCAGTTTTACTTGCTGGTGACATGAAACTGAGGGGTGTTGCAGATATGTTGAAGGACAGGCCTGGGGCTCAAAGTGATGCTTATAATTTAGATAAATGGTTTGAAGAGAAAGTAAATAGTAGCTCCCCATACGCAAGTGCAAATACCACTTTGGCAAAAACACAGCTGGAGAAATATAGAGTGAGAAAAAAAGCTTAAGCAGTTGTTCCTTAGGAAAGGATTGGGGTATTGCACTGAATGAAAAGCTGAATGAGTCACGTGTCCACAGCTGCATAAAACTGTTGATTCAAGTCCAGCATCACTCAGAATGTACAAACAGAATTTTGGCCTACAAAATACATGATATAGTCATTTTTTGTTATAGAGTACTCTGCTTCGTTTTGTATAGAATGCTATATGTTGGTCAGCTGGGGAAGGCTGAGCAGAAAATAGTGATCATGAACCTAAACATCGTGTGTCCAGGGTAATGGAGGGAGACAGAAATGTTTGGCCTACGCAAGAGAGATGTTGAAATAACTGAATTTAGAGTCTACAAAAGGCATCTGCGTTGTGGATGCATACAAGCTGTTCTACATACTGACTTTGGATAGGAAAAGTACTGTGATTCTTGAATTGCAATGAAAGGATTTAGGGTAGGTGGTATGAAAAAACTATTCATATAATTGGGAGAGGCTGCAGAATCTTGGTTTAAAAACAGGCTACATAAACCTGTCTCGGGAATGATGACATCAGTAGTTGGTTTGTTTTGTGGCTGAAAGGTAAATGAGGTCACCTCTCAAAATGTATGTGGTTGTGTTGCATTCTTCATGCCAAGCAATGGTCCTAGCAATCATCTTGAATATCAACTCCAGCTGAAGCTTGCATGTAAGTTACTACAAAGCATGGTATAAATTGTTTCAAGCCTTGACAACCCTTATCTTTACTAAATTCAAATCGATCTTAGTTCTTATACATTGTTTTTGTAAGACTATAATGGCAGTTAATGATCTGTAAAACGTTTGCTATTCTGCTAAGAAAACACATTATCTTCTGCACGGATAATGTGGAGGTGATGCAGATGGGTATTTCAGTTAAATCCAATCACTATGCATAATTCTACTTTAAATTCTTTCATTTTTGCTTTCCTCTGTTTTACTTAAATGAGAAAGGCAGGGAAGATGAGGATTATTAGGAAGTTAAAGAAAGAGAGGCTTTGACAAGATTGAAAGGCAGAAGGCAAGGACAAGAAAATGAGAAACCAATGCTAAGAAAGACAGTTATGCTGCATGAATAAGAAACACAAGATAGGAGGAGAAAAAATTTTTAGTTACATGGCATTGATCTGCATACAGTGTTTGAGTCCATTAAACTGAGTTGTTTTACCATGCTACTAGTGACTTAGCAAAACCTACTAACAATTTTTCCTTTTTCTTTACACTTATCTTCTTTTAGCAACCTTCATGAAAGAGGTTTAAGACAGCACTGGTATAGACACTAGCACCTACTGTAACAGCTGTATGTTGTACACACTGTGAGACTCTTAAAAGGCAGGGATGGATTCTTGGCCTTCATGAACTCTCTTTGGTTTTGTTGTTATACTAATTATTGGTTGCTCTGCCAGAATAGTCCATAAGAATGTCTATTGACTACTGCTTAATGTGATGGTAGTGGCAGTAAACTGCACAGTATACTATATAATAGTAATCTTGCTTATCTGAGGGAACGCATTCAAAAGTAATTCTTTCTTGAAAAGCCTGCTGCAATACACATGGTGTCAGTGAAGAAATCTGTATACTGAGAATCTACTGTGTTTAACAAAAGAGATGTTTAAGTACTACAAAAATGTATTGGATAAATCACTTGAACTACACAAATACTAACACAAAATGGTTGCTCAAACAAAAGACATCTTAGGGCAATGAAAGAAAGTGTTGATAATGTCAGCCAGCTTTGCTCTATTGCTTCTTTTAATGCATTTTGACCCTTTCTTGTTTTTGACCGTCTTGACTCCAGCCTATCCATTCACTGAACAGGAGTTTGGGATTTCTGTCCTATAGCCTTTGATGAAATAGCATCAGTTTAATATTTAGAATGAGTTTGTGTCCAGCTACAGAAATTAAAAAAATGAATAAAAATCAGAAAAAAATAAAAGGCTGATTTGCAAGCATGTTGATTGACTTGAAGATGAGGTTATCTCAAAATATTCCTTTGGTAAAACACAGTATTGTTTTCTGAACAAATTAAACACTTGTATGGTAGCATAATGGTAGCTAAAGGGATGAGATTCCAGTTTGTTTGATAATAAAATCTATCTGTTTTTTCTTCTGTCTACTAGAGTGTCTTCATGTGGCAGTAAGCAAGTCTGACATAATCTCTTCCATGCCTCCAAATAATCTTTAGTACCTTTTAATACTATTTCACTAAAGTCAGATGGTGATGGAGAAGCTCATTACAAATGATTAACTACATTCTAAACCACTTTCAGAGAGAGAAATTTGGTGAATTTGAGGAAAGAAATTTGGGTGTAAAAAGTAAGAGACATTTGTTAGGATTTTTAAAAATAACAGACTGAGATTTATATGCAAATTGCCTTCCAGTTTCTAGTTACAGAGGAAGGATATTCCATTTGTATGTCCTTAAGGAGAAAATAACTTGTTTTTTTTCTGTCATCAGAGTTATTACCAGCTAGAATATAAAGTTGCAAGATTAATTATTCAAAGGTCAAGAAGAGCTTGAGCCAAGTCTTCTCCCAGATTCTGTGGTCTGTTGTCACTGAGGATAGAAAATAAGATAGTCTTTATTAATGAGATGAGATGTTGTAGTCTTTAATGAGATAAAACAAACCATTGTGTAGCACTCAGTGAAAGAGAAAGTTTTCTGCTCCATTCCCTGTGTTCAAGGAACAGCTGGGTCATCAGCACCTATCAAACACAGGTGCTAGAAGAGAAACTTCCCATCAAGGTCATATTTTTCCTGTATCATCTTAAAATGTGATTCATATGTATTTTAAATTTAATGTTTAATTTAAAATCATGTTCTTCAAGCAGTCTTCTGGTTTTTCATCTTAATGCTGTGTTTTTCATCATGATTATGTCTAGATGTACGTGAACAGGGACTTTATTTTTGAATTCTTCAACCAGATAAAATGCTTAGGTGGCCCAGGTTATTATAATTGAATTAAGCGGTAATGGAGACCTATCTTCATCTTTGCAATAATTATATTGTCTCCAAGTGTCATGAAAACTCAGTATTATTGTGACAGTTACTCACATTAGGAGCCTAAGAATAGATACTTCAAATGCTTTAGAATAAAAATGTTCACCAGATTTTCCTCCACCCCAACTTCCATGCAAGTTTGTCTTCTTTTAATAGAATCACAATTTTCTATTTAATAGCCTCACAGCATATCAAAAGTACTCTGGAATTAATTTATGTTGTAGAAAGTATTCTGTGCAATTGAATGCATGCAAAGATGGTTGTGTATGTTTTGGTTATTTATCTATAGGCTACACTTTATCCAGCTTTTGGTCCTGCTGTTTTTTTCCAATTTTGCTTCCCAAAGAGGAAGTGAGATACTTGGTAGCGGTGTTTTTCTGTTGTTGTTTTTTTTCTGACAGAAAAAGTAAAAAATTGGTATTTCCATCTTAAATGGAATGTTTCTAATTGCACATTTAACAATGAATGTCTTTTGGAAGACATTCCAAAAATGAGAGTGGAAAATAACAAGTTGAGCTGTTGGTAGGGACAGGCTACAGGTTGTATTGTTAGGAAGTTAAGCAGTGTGTTAATGAAGCTACTGTGTTTATTGGGAGATCAAAGAGACAGAAGCATGAAACCAGGAGTTATACTCTGTCTCACACATGTATGTGATTATCTGGCTCACTAATTAAAGTACATGAGGAGTTCACATAGTACCTACAGTGTTTTGTACTAAATGTAGCTACTTGAACATGATTTTCTTTAAAATTTTCCTAGATATTTTGAGAATAGGGAAATGGAATCAAGCAACAGTTGTTACTGTTAAAATTTATAACTCTAGTTTCCTTCTTTGTAAAGCTACTGGTTTAAACATCTGTCATACATCCAGGAAGGCCAGACTAAACATTTTTTTTGTAAAACACATTTTTTAAGTTTGTATGCTATGTGCTAACTGATGAAGTAAAGAAAAACCTATGCGTACCATGATTCCAGTAGTGATGGAACCTGAATCCATTTTAAAAACAACTGAGAACAAACCTGGGAGCACTGACTTGATGTAATGCTGTGTATGTGATCTTGATCCTCTTCCCACTGGAACAATTATCTAAATGGATATGGTTAATTTATGTTCGGTATCAAAAATAGAAGAAAGATGTGCTATTTTAGTAGGAAAGACAGCCTGCCTTTGTCATAATTGTACATGAATGAAAATAATGTCATTGTAAGATGGTTAGTTTTTGCTCTTCAATTTTTGTTTCAGATTGTCAAGTGCAATTATGATATTCAAACCTCAAGTCAGAAACTTTGGCATATAATCCGAAATCATTTTCATTCATGTAGAACAAGAATTATTTTTGTAGATATTCCTGCAGTGCATGAATGATTAAGGTGGTATGAACACTAGCCTTCCTATGAATTGTTCAGCATACACAAAAAATACATTTGCACGTGTCTCATCCTGTATTAGTGTGCTAAAAAGTCAAAAGTACAGAGCTTTTTCTTTTCCCCCCTTATTTCATTAAAATGTGATATTTTTATAGAATCTGTTGGGTGTGGACATTTTCCCAGCAAAGGCTGGGAAGCCAAGACAAAAGTGATGTTGAATATTAAGGACAAAGGTCTGATGTAAAGGTTGAAGCCTCTATACTTGCTCCAAGTGACTCTCACATTGGCTGACTACAGATGGTTTTCAGGAGCTGGATGTCAGGGGAGGACCTCCTACTTCTACCCACACCATAAATGAAGCCTGTATCCAAGAGGAAAATGATACTTGGGGAGTTTTGTGGTCAATCCTAGGAGTAACTGAGGGAAAAATGAGTGAACCATGTAGATCAAAGTATGATACATCGTTTATATTGTAGTAGAATACACTGGTATAGTTGAGGGTATGACAGTTTTACAGTGTGATACAAAGCACTAAACTTGCTGTAAACCTTGACATAAAAATATAGCATGCACTTCCCTGTGCAGTTAAATGAATTGTGAAAATACATGTTTGGAAAAAAACTGGTTTTCATACCATATAGGTTCTAATACAATGACTCCAATATTCGTATCTAAAAAAAAGAAAAAAAAAAAAGTAATTTAATATTTCTGAGTGGAAATACAGAGATTTTATTTAACACCTTGCATGGTGACCAACTGTGAATACAAAATATATGATTTTGACATTAGAAGTATGCAACAATGAGGTAAGGCAGTGACCTTCTACTACCTCATTTGTGTGCATGTTTTGGATTTGGAATTTTTCATGCCAGGAAGGCTAAAAGATTTCTTTTCTGGAATAGGTTAGCAAGTTTTCTTACTGGACATAAAAATAAGTAGGAGCATGCCTGAAGCCAAATCATTTTTGGAGTGATTTTATACATTTATTTATTCATCTACTTAGAATATTTGTGATTAGTAGCTTTTTGCGATCAACTGTACTTGGTAGGGCAACAGAAGTGGTGATACTTTAATATAATGAAACTTGTTCAAAGGAATGTTGGCAGTTAGCATCAAAAACATACCAAAGGAAAACAGCAATGATGATGCAGGATTTCTTTTGAGTATAGGCAGAAGGATTTGAAATCTTTCCAGTTACCCCCAGAAAAAAAAAACAGCATTATCCAAAACAATAGCAAAGCCAAAAGTTCTGTCCGAACTCTGAACACACACATGGTTAATTCCTAACAGTCGTGACATGTGGAAAAACTGCATTTAATGGCTTTTTGTCTTTTTCTCCCCATACAGACAACTAAGGATAGTGACAGGAGAATGGTTCTTTGAAGAGAGAGCAAAGCGCTTCAAACAATCAAATCTTGGAACCGATGTTGTCAGACAGTCCATCCTGCGCAAGTCTCCAGGTAGGGGGATTTGCTGCATATGCTTAATATGTTCAAACCATTTTCCCGGGGTGTTTTACCTGTGTTGTATTTCATTCTTCACCGTGGAAGATGTAAGCGTGATCAGTAATCAGCCATTTTTCATCTTTGTCTCTCTTATTTGTGTTGGTAATATGTAAAATGCATGATCCATGATTTCCATTTTGGAAAGTCAGGTGAAATTGGAGATTGGTTCAGATAGCTCCAATAAGTTGCACCTGTGCACTTACATAAAGAAAGCATTCTGCTGTCCTGATAGATCAGAGCAAGCATGTACTGTTTGTGAGCTGCTCTACTACCTTGCTGGTACCACTGGATGAAGAAATAGGAGTTCAGCCTGAATCCTTATGCTTCACTCTTCTCATAACTATTTCACTCTGATCACAGAAGTTGGTACTTAAGTAGTCTCTTTTCAGAGGTGGCATTCATGCCTTTCAGTAGGAATGTGGTACTTACTGGCAGATTGTAGGAGAAGGTCTGGTTTACTGCCGTTGCATGAATCTCTGGTGCAAATGTACTGCTTAGCAAAATGCTGATCTTTCTGCTACCAGCATGCTTCAGAAACTGTTGGAACAATGTGTCTGATGTTTCTGGTGGGGTTTTTTTTTTGATATTTTCGTATTTTGTGACTTTATTTTACTATATATTTGATAGACACATTTGAAAAAAATGAGCCATTTTTTTTGCCATCTGCTCCCAAATGAGCATGCATTTTAATTAAGAAAACATTATTTCATGCAACACAGAAAATGTGCTACACTGCAAAATTATGTTTGAAGTCCTTTGATTATTAACTGTAGCGTCAGTGATAAATTCAGAAGCATAGTTCAACAGTAAAGCTGGTAGGAAGAAACATTTCAAACTACTTGAAATTTATTTTTCCTTTATTAAACAGCAAAACTAAAGAACCCTTCCAGCTGTTTTTATATGATATTTTATCATGTGGTTTCATTTAATACTGAAAAATTGAAAACCTATTTTTGCAGATTGTTTAATGTTTGCTGCCTTTACGTGTTTAAATATTGATTTTTGTTGTTGTTGTTTTTTCGTTCCCCTTCACTGAAGATACAATTTCCAGTAAGGATGAAGAAAGAACATTCAAAGATCAACACCAAGAGAATGAAGAAAAAGAAATATCAACCTGCTCCCTAACTGGACATAAATCAATCTTTGGCAAACCTAGAAAGATAGGGTAAAGCCTTTTCTTTTTGGAAAGTGAAAATCGCATAACAGCTGCATGCGGTCAAATGGATTGTCTTTTGAGACTCTCCAACAGTCCACATCAGCCCCAAATTTTCCAGAGTTAGAAAGAGTCTTCAGTTGAAAGTTGCTTCCTATAATTAGACTGCTGTCTCCAAGGAAATGCAGCTGTAATTACCCTTCAGCTATAAACATAGCAGAAAAGAAAAAGCAATTTAACTGCTGGATTATTCCTGTTTATATTTGAAATAGCAGAGGGTCTCTAAAAGCAGGTTTGCTGAGAAAGCAAATTCAAGAAAGGCTTGTTTTCTACGTATACTCATTGCTCCCATTTACAAGTCATGTTTCCCTTTGGCTTCTAGCTGTGCAAATTTAGTCTAACAACCAAGCAGTGCTCCTTTGTTTTTTTTTTGTGTGTGTGTGACAGTGAATAAGGAGATACAATGGTGGTCATTTTACAGCCTATGAAGTGTATCACCCTGCTTAGGCCATGACCTTAGAGAAGTGCTCACTCATTCTCAGGGGTCATAGACAGATGCATTGAATATATGGTTGCATGTGTGATGTTCAAACATAACTTGAGAAAGCTTGGTGAATGGGAATGAAATTGGATGAATGTTCGTGTCATGTGTAGAGCTGTGGATCCCAAACATAGGGTGGGTAGATGGCTTTCTACACCTCTTCGACTGTTGAGGAGTAGTGGGTATGGAGTTCCTTCCTGCAGTCAGTCAGGAAATCGATGTGAAGTATTTTTCTCTTTAACAATGGTGAAAAGAGTATCAGAACACCTCTGGCTTCTCAGATGAAGGTGAAGAAGGAATCAACTCAAGGAATTTATTGTAGGGAAACCTATACATTGCTCTAAACTATGCTGATTGTTAACTGTAGGGAGAGTGCCTTAAAATTTAGTTTTTGGATCCTCTTTTACTTAAATCCATTGAATGTTTACTCATGAGAAACAAATTGTTGGGTTTCTTTTTCATTTTCTATTATTTTTTTAGTAGTTTCCAGCATTTTTTAGTTTGTGGCTTGGAACATTTTCCGATGGTGACATTCCCCATAAATTTATTTCTACAAGAAATAGGCCACTTCTCTTAGGAGTAACTCATTACCTCTCCTCTTTCTTCCTTGCTCCTTTTTCCTCACTCACATTCCATGTTTATATGTCTCATGAGTGCATTTGCTTTAGCAAAGCCATTTTGGGGCCAACTCTTTAAACTTAGCATAATGGGAAACCTTTCTACAGTCTTGCTTGTGAATCAGTGAAGTATATTATGACTATTCAGTTACACCTATTTTCATTTCCATCTTTTTAAACCACGTATTGCAGGGTGAGGTAGGACAGGGGGGTGGTGTTGTGTTTTAAGAAAGTTGGAGGTATTGCTATGTACAGGTATAAAAACTGCAAAGAGATGTTTAAGAGGAAATACGTATGGTGTAATTTCCCACAAGAAAATACATATACTTGGTACAAATTCTTTGCTGTTTTCATCAGGAAGATAATCAGGGCAGCTACCAAAGGAGAAATCACAGTTGCAAAAGATGAAGGTGGAAGGAGCATAGGCTCTGAAGCTGAAAGCCAAAGCCTGCACAGTAGCAAGTCAACACCTTGTTCTGAGAGGTGAGTGGCAGAAATCTGTTGCAGTTTGTGCTGCAGTTGACGTAAAGGTCTGTGCCAGTCCACAGAATTGGTGTGTCTTCGATTGCCCTGAGTGAGCACAATCTGAGAAGGAGAGCTTATATTTTAATAACTAACTAAATAAAAATTGCTCTGTCCATCTCCTTTTTTCTCCCTTATGTTTGGGTGGTGATTGCTGTCAGAGAATTGATTTTTCTTTTCTGGCTTTTAATCCAGCAAGCTGTGTTCATGTTGCAGAACTGAGGACCTTTTTCCCAAAGTTTTACTTTTGTGATGACATGTTAATTGATTATAATTTATAACTTTTTCTTTCAAAGGCTCTCTTTTGTCCTTCTCTTTCCATTATTATGTTCCAGTTATTTCTAATAGAGTTCAATTTCTAATTCTTTGGGTCTTAGAAAATCTTTGTTATTGCCTATTCTGATAGCATTATAAAATGTCACATGCAGTATTCCTCTCGTCTCACCTTCAAAATCAAGTAAACAAACAGCTTCTTTATTTTTCTTGTTCACTTGGGTAGTCTATACTGAGTACCCATATGTTTTATGCATTGGAAATTTGATAATTTGGATTTCTGTAGAGGAATGAAAATTCCTGCCTTGTGCAGATATTCAAAAATGTTTGTTGTGGTTCATCCATTGTTACCTTGTAGAGCTGAATAGTGCTTATTAAAAATAACAACAAACTTTCCCAGGCTACCCTCCATCACTGTTTCAAATTAAGGAAATACAATAGCATGTTGTGTCACTGTTGCTGCCCTAGATTTTCTTGCATATTTTTTATTTTTGTAGTTGCCCCATCATTTAGTGGCATTGTCAAAACTGAAAGTACTTCACCTACAAGCAGGGAGATTGAGAAAGAATAAAAATTCTTTCTGAGTATTTTGATTTAAGAGAAGCTGTACTGAGATGGGAAATGGTAAGGCCTGGCCCAGAAGTTCATCTCTTGGACTCGTTTATTTCTACTACTGCAGAAATGTTTATTGTTACTGCAGCTGAACAAACTGGGTTTGCAGCATCAGGATACTCTTTAGATGAATAGTGTAGGAATTTCAGACTCATTTGTGCAAACACTACCCCCATCTTAATGAGGTCTGATCTACCATGTGCATAAATGCATAGTATAGTCACCTTATAACAACTTTTTCATTGTTGTCTACATAATATATGTGTAAAATGAGTTGGGCCTCTCTCAAAAAGCAGGCTGAAATAAGCAGAAAGATCTGGAGACGACCTTCCAGTATTCAAAAGGGGATTACGGAGGAGAATCAACTTTTTACAAGGGTAGATAGTGGTAGGACAAGAGGGAATGGTTTTAAGCTCAAGGAGGGAAGGTTTAGATTAGATTTCAGAGGGAAGTTCTTTACAGAGAGAGTGGTGAGGTGCTGGCACAGCTGCCCAGAGAGGTTGTGGATGTCCCGTCCCTGGAGGTGTTCAAGGCCAGATTGGATGGGGACCTGGGCAGCCTGGTCTTGTATTAAATATGGAGGTTGGTGGTCCTGCATACAGCAGGGGGGGGTGGAACTTTTGATGATTCTTGGAGTTTCTTCCAACCCAAGCCATTCTGTGATCTGGTGTGCAAGTGCTTGTTCTGACTAATGACTACAAAATCTCATAACACATTTTGAAATCTTTGTTATCCCAGTCCTGTGTGACTTTGGCATGCTTCTGTTGATTTACATTAGTTTACAGAGTGAGGAAAAAGTCTGTAACAAGAGCTTTCATAACACAAAGTTAAAGCAATCTATCAAAAGTGGTGTGACATAGAATAAAAATCAAATTTTATTCTTTATTGATATTACTCAGTGCAGTTTGACAACCAACCATAGCAGGCTTAGAAATTAAGTGTGCGTTGTAAACAAGAGCTTTGACAAAATACAGATGACAGCCAGAGGCTTTGATTTTCTGACTTCATGGCGCCAAAGACGCTTCTTTATGTGAGCAGATAGGACTAAAATTCAACCACACCACATTTTTTAGGGTTTGTTGATCACTGATTCATCAGATTAAGAAGTAGTAGTGCAATTATATGAAGTGCACATGGGTGAGAGTGAGTTTATTATGAATAATCTACTTTTGTTGATATAAGAAACAGAATGATAATTGTTTAAAAGGTTACCGTATGACCACTAATAGACAAAATATATGTAACATTAGTAGACAATCCTGTTTTTTTGGAGTTTTCTTCTCTATTCCTTGTTTTTAATAACTCTACAAATGTGGTTTCTGTTCCCTGCTTAGGGTAAACAGGAGCTGAACATTTGTTCTCAGTTCAGCAGTAGTTCTGATACAAGTTTTTGTTATTGTAGAGAAGATTTTTACTGCTATTACCCTAATGTGGTATGACAAACTAAAGTGAAGGTGAAATTCAGGTGTGTAGCACAGTGAAGATGCTTGCAGATCTAAAATATTTATTAAGCAAGCTGAAGATATGCTTTAAGTTCCAAAATCATTTTCTCCAGCAAAATTGCACTACCGCTGTCCTTTGGTGCTGTGTTTTCTGCATGAAGAAGTCTGTGGTGCTTGCATCAATTGCTGTTTATCAGTAATTGTTTGAAATAGTAGGACTGTGTGTAGAACTGTTACTGTCTGGCAAGGCTCTGTTATAGTTCCCTAGGTTATGAAGGAAAATGAAAATATCTGAACTGACGGACAGGAAGAGGGAAGAACAGATGAGTCTGGAACTTGGATTTTTGCTCCTAATCAAATTTCAAATGGAAATAGGACTTAGGCTGGAAACATTAAAATAAATTTTAAAATCATTTTCATTCTTTCAAGAGTTAAAAAGTGATAAAAATAAAAAGTACAACAGCTTACCCCTTCCTAGCACTCTAACACATGAACTGATCAATATTTTCTAATAGAAAATGTCTCTCTTGTCTGCTGCAGCATTAGATAGCAATTGGGCATGGTGACCACAGGTTATTTTTTCTCACTTTTCAGTCTGGTTGAAATGATCTGCCAGCTGGGGTCACAAGTCATTGTCATTATATAAATAGGATGGCACTTTTCTAGCAGGAGAGAGGATAATTGTTTTTCTGGAGGGGAAGGAGAGTGCACAGCTGAGGATTTTAGAGTTCCTGGGGATAGTGCTGGCAGAAGTGGTCCGAACTGTCAGATCCTGGTAATTTTTTTTCAAAATGAGGAGCAGCTCATTCCCTGTGTGGGAAGTCCCACTGGAGGCCTCACACCTTCTGCTGAGATGCCTGTGTACTGTCACGTGAACGTGTGGCAACGCAGCAGCTGGAGAAGAGGCACCTGCTCAGGCTATTCACACTTCTGGCAGAGATGCTGAAAACAGGTGTAGGCGTGACATAATTGATTCACCCCAGCTTATGTTTGTCTTTCCAGGTGACCGTTTCCTTGCAGTGGATGACGCGGTTCATCCAGAGCAATGTAATTCTAATAAACTGTTATCAGTGATATTTTATTCTGTGGTTTGCTGGAAGCAGTAACGCTTTTTTACTCTTATCTCCTTCCCAGAGGAAGCACTCTTTCCCTGAACAGCAGCGATACAGAAGCAGCTGCAGGCCGTCTGAGAGGGGCCATGGGCCCTGCAAACAGAAGCAGTACTTCCATAGCTTCCCTCCCGAGGTCACCGGCACTGAGCACATGCAGCATGACTGCAGATTATAGCAGGGTAAGTTCCTTGATGTAGAGCTGACACCAAACAGAGCTGGCGCCGAGCAAGATGGCTTGGCTGGTGTCTGCTCTGTTAGATCAATTTGTAGCTCAGGAAGGACGAGCCCGGTGGAGAAGATTTTGTTTCTTCTATAATTCTGCTGGGACCAGCGAAGGTCTCTACTAGAGCAAGATTTGTCATGCTCTGTCAGTGATGTGGTTTTTGGTTTGGCAGGCATTTTTCTGTCTAAAAGTTGCTGCTAATATCCAGAATTGACTTACAGATAATGACTTACAGATTCTGAAGTGGAAAGCACAAGGGATGAGTGTACATGTTTTTGATATTGTAGGGCCTTGAATAAGTGCTGTGAGCTAAGGTTGTGACTCTCCAGCATGCAGGGCCCAGCACACTCCCCCTGACTTCTGATGGAAAAGATCAGCACTTGCAGAAAATCAAGCAGTACCTATCTTAATTTTTTGGATTTGATTAAATTATGGCATAGCACGCAATGTGTGCTAGATGCTGTCAAAATGAAACATCTGGGACTCCTCTTACTTGCTGTTATTAGGCCTCTAGAGATGTAGACGGCCATGTCTGAATCAGCATCCTTGGCTGCTTCATAATAAGCAGGATTTGGCTCACCTCAGCAAGAAGCAAACACTGTCTTTATTCCTTTATCAGACGGCTGCTCTTGGCTGTATGCTGGGTGGAACAACCATCCTGCATTCATTTTGGTCATCCCTCCTAAGAAACCATGCTTACTCCAGTAAGTTAGTGAGCATTGTGGTGATGGTTGGCCTACGTGATCTTAAAGGTCTTTTCCAACTTCAATGATTCTATCATTCTAAGTTGATCCAAGTTGCCACAACACAAGTTGTATAGAAGGAAAGTCAAATTTATAGTCAGAGATAATTCTTTTTATCACTGGAAAGAAGTAGATGAGCTTTTGAACTCCGTCTCATTGAGAGAACACATCCATTTTTTCCAGCTTCCAAATACTTTGTCTAATTTATAACCTTTCATAAAAATGAATTAGTATTTGTGAAGGCCAGTTATGAGTGCTGTAAATAGGTTAATACTTGTTTTATTTATATTCTTGCTAGCACACAGGCTGACTTTATTTCAAGTGCATTAGATGTCATTGAAAAAGACAAATCCATTCAATTTGGACACAGTTGATGTTGTTAGCTATTCCTTGCACAGGAAGGCAAAAAAACCATAATAATATCAAGCATACTAGCTTTATTTAAGGAATTATGTTATCATAATTTAATTAGTTCAAATCCATTTACTTCTAACCTGAAGTTAATTTATGTTGGTAAAGTTAAATTATGCTGGTATAAAGCTGATAGTTTTTTTTTGTTTTGTTTTGCATAATTTCTGGCCTAAATTAGCATCAAATAGTTTCGTTTTTTTTTTACTTTCCTTCCTTCACTCCTGATGTATTATTCTGATTTTTCAGTTGTGAACTCAGACTGTACACACGAATTGCAACTTTTTGCAAATTTTATGCATGATCTTCACTAAGCAGCACTGATTAAGCAGTAAACTAAATATATTCAGTTATAGTCCAGGTGCTAAAGAAGCTTTGGATTTCTGGAAATTAATAGAAATGGTGCTTTTGTAGATCGATGGTAAGTAAGTTCAATTTTTGTATTTCTGGGATGTGCTTTTTTTTTTAATGAGCAGGACACTGACTCAGAAAATGGCATGATTATTCCAGCAAGTGAAAGTGTACCTGAAGATTTAGTAAAGAAGCACCGTAGGAAAGCATCTGGAACACCTTCCATTGCAGTTTCTAGAGTATCTTTGTCATCAGGCAAGTATTAAGTCTTCTTTTTTTTCTGCTAGCCTGAGTCATTAGAAGATTATGGCTATTCTTGTAGGTTTGCGATTCCTGTTTTTAGTGCACATCAGAAGATCAGATATAAGAGTCAAGTACTTGTTGATGTTCCTTCTACTAATTCATCTTTTTTCTAACGAAATTTATGCCACTTCATAAGTTTCATGTTTGAAAATATGATAATCCTTACTGACAAATGATATACTCTTGGACTTGTTAGAAGATTTTATTCACAGTTTCACATGTTAAATCATTCCCTGTGTGGTCACCCATATAAAATACTATCTGTGAGCTATCTGTATAAAATACTGCAATTACATTTCACACCTTTTTTGCCCAGAAACTGAGATCATACTGAGAAACAATGAGGTGTCAGATAACAAGTCCCTTACAGCTGTCATGTAATTTTGTTTTTATGCATGATGCACTGAACCTCTTGGTTTAGCTGTGATTTACTTCATTTCATTGGAGGCTGCTAGGTAAATGAGACTTGCACAGGAAGATGCTGTCAGAGCCTCTTCGCAGTGGTGGGTGGAGATCCTCCTTTCCTACCTGAAATGGGAGGTGGGAGTGTCCTGCACACTTCTGCCTTTTACTCTGCTTCTTACAGGCTAACAGAGTGGCTTCAGATTCACATTTCTCTCTGATGAACAGCGCAGGGCTCGCTCTCTTTTATCTGAATTTAGCCCAAAGCAGAAACCTGGTGACTTGTCCCACTGAGCTAATCAAAGGAGTTACAGTCCTCACCTTAGATTTTTTCCACTTGAAAGCATCAAGGTTTCTTTGAGAATACTGCATTATGCAATTCCTGGCAGAGGCATTCCTGGCTATTACTTTATTTCTGAAACAACTGTTTCTTCTGCTGCTTTACAAATTAAAGGCTTTCTGAGCATTTAAGAGCTGGCCTCATTTTACCAAAGTAGATGCTGAGTAAAATTGCAGGCAGCATGGAAACGTCCCTCAGACTCTTCGTTGTCTTATTTCTGGGGGATTTCAGAGGCTTCTGGCACAGCTGCCCAGAGAAGCTGTGGTGCCCCATCCCTGAAAGCACTCAAGGCCAGGTTGGATGGGGCCCTGGGCAGCCTGAGCTGGTAGGGGGCAGCCCTGCCCACATTAGGGATTGGGGTGGTGTGGGCTTTAAGGTCCCTTCCAACCCAAACTGTTCTGTGATTCTATGGCATAAGCTCAAAATCCAGACCTTTCCTGTCATATCAGCTATAGACCAGGAAGAGGATGAACAGCTGAAAACTTTGCAGTTTCTTATCTGCAGGATGTGGAAGTATTCTTTTCCTTCATTTTTTTCTCAATTTATTGAACAGTAGCACAAAACAGAGGGGAGGACGAAGAAAATATTTATCTAAAATATCTGGCATCTCTTGTGCCTTTAAAGAGGGGAGAGAAACTTGTGGAAATGAAAAAAAATGTAGAGTTTGAGACTCACTTGCTTTGAGCCTTTCTGCACAGTGATGATATGAAATGCTTTCTGTGCCCGGCTGTATCTCTGGCTGCTTAAATCTGAAGAAGGTGCTGAAGGTTGTTTGGTCATGGTAGGTGATGTGATCGTCTCTACAAATGCTTGGGCTCCAAGTTTTGCAGTATTCCAAGCTAATAGGTCTAACATACAAAATCAAAAGCTCGATCTGTCATATCATCCACAGGAGACAATTACATCAGATAAAAAGTGTGTTAAAAATGTTGGCAGAAGTACAAATAGCGCCATAAAACATGTTTTACTATTTTTCATCTTGATGGTCATTTGTCATAGAGTTTGTGACCGATATGTACAGAAATGCAATTTTAACATTTTTCCTTTAAAAACAGTCTGAGACAGCACTTAGTAAAGAGTAGCAAGGCAAAAGAGGCAGTATTCTGTACACAAAATTGTAATGAACTGCTTTGTTATTTTCGTTCTCTAGACCGTAGCCGATCTGAGATAGATTTGAGTGAATCTTTCTCTGAAGGAAAACAGGAGACCTTGAGCATAAGAAGCAAATCTGTACCTAGCGCCTTAGATGAGGAGCTGGTGAGTTGTAAACATGTGAAAGTTTATCTGGCAGAAATCTTGTTTGTTCAGTCTTAGAAAATCCAGCACTGTATGTATAAATGACACAAAATGTAATTTGAGGGTATTTAATGAGTTTTTAAACAGCTTCATTTTTCTTTAGTCTGTTGGCTGGGAGTGATTTCAGTGAATAACAGTTTGCTATTAATTTGCTATTTTTTGAGTTTTCAGGTGAATAAAACTGAATTTCAGGCTTTGTATAGATACTCCAAAGTGCTGTTGACTCCTATTTCCTTAATTTTTAATTTTTATGCTGAAAAATACTATACTTTAGCAGCTGTAATCTTTATCTGTTTCTGGCTTTTGCCCTGTTTCTTTGGAAGATGAGGCCCTCCCTATCTTTCTCACCACTTTTGCCAATCTCTTCTTCCTTTTAATCTGTTTCTTACATACATCTACATATCTCTTGCGTGTTCTGTAAGGACTGCCTTTCCTGATGTGATAGCCAACTTCTTTCTCACATTATGCACGTATTCAAGACAGACACACAAGTTGCAGATGTGCATCAATGCCATGAAAAGAAAAAAAAAATCCTAGCTTGTTGAGTATGCATAGGAGCAATTTGAACTTTTTTTCATCCAATCATAGTTTGTTTTGAAGTTTCCAAATGCAAGTGATTAGCTTGGAAAAAAAAAAGAAAAGAAAAAAAACGAGAAGAAGAGACATTACCTGCTGCAACAATACTGTTTTGTCTTTTGCCATAATACTTTCCTACCATCTGCTCTTTTTGAGAGGGGCATTGGGCATGGGAGATATGTCCCTTTCTTTTAATGTTTAATAGTTGAGGATTTGTGGAAAACAGTATGTTGGGATTCCCATCTGTTTCTTGTATTGTAACCACCGAGTGAATTTGCCTGCAGCATTGCTCTGTTTGGATGAAACATTTAGGAAATAACAAGCCATTTCTATGCATCAGATTTATGTTGAAATAACCTTCAAAAATTAATGTTTTATTATTTAATTTTAGTAAAGAAAAAGGATGCGTTCTTCGTTTAGAGAACTTGGAAAAGATGGCAGAAGAAAACCATAAAATAAGAGCTTTAAATATTTTATGTTGGTTTCCTGCTCTAGTTGTACAGGGTGTGATAGTTGTCACTTGAGAATTTCTTTAAGGCATGCACCGGAAGTGTCATGTCCAGAGTAGTTATAGGTTATTTGATTTTTGCCTTCCTTGTACACAGAAGGGAGTTTTTGCTTACTCTAAATGAAATGTCAGATTGCATCTCAGCATATTTTTTTAGGGTAGTTTGACTCATGGGACTACTTCAGTGTCTTGCCTTAGATTGCATATGAATGCTTTGTTTTGAGATTGTTACACTCCTGCTAGAGTTTAGTTTTGTTTTGATATAAGAGACAAAAATAAGACTATCTGATGAAAATAAGAACAGTTCCTTCGGTCTGAGAAGAATTACGACTTCCTTCATCTTGGCTGGCTGGTGGACCTAGCTGAGGTCCTTTGGTCTCTTGTAGGTGATGGGAACTGATGGTAGTGGTGTGAGAGATGCCACACATTAATGAGAAAAACAGATTGCCAGCTGGAAGGGTGGAAAAAGGTATATTAGCTGCTCTGCTCCCAGCTTTATCAATAGCACCACTTACATATAGAGATAGAGACTGAGTGGTGGTGTTCTTCTTACTCTTGGAAGTGGGAAAGGACCAGAAAGCTGCATGCTGTGGTATTTTTCAAGAAGCCAGCTAAATACTTAGTGCTGCACTCAGCTATGTGTGCACCTTATCTTGAGAGGTGTGCATTGAATTCCTGACCAAGTAGTGTTCATTACATGCTCAGCTGCTTTATTAGAACGAATTGGATAATGTGCATTTTATAACCCCCACTGGAGACAGCGAGATTAGTGTCCTTCCAGCTCTAACTTTAATAGGCTTATATAAGCTAATAACACTAATCAATTATGTAGCTACTGTTCTGTAACACCTACTGAGAAACATAATCATTGTAGTGGAAAAGGAATTAAGCTCTTATGTTTAATGGTAACCATTTGTTTTAAATTTATATATCCGCTTGCAGACAAAAATTGGTGATCACCTACTTACTGTTAGGACTCAGCGCTCTCAAACAGAGTTTGAATTTTGGGTGGTGCTGTGTGGAGCCAGGAGTTGGCCTTGATGATCCTTATGGGTCTTTCCCAACTCAGGGTATTCTGTGATTCTACAACTCCGTATCACGGAAGCGCTGTCAACAATTGAGTATCTAAACCTTAAACATCCCATGAAGATGGTACTATCATTTGTCCTGTGCATAATTATTCACCAATCAAAATTCAGCACTTGATTTTTAACACCACATATGTGTATACAACAGTGTAAAGGAAAGAGTAGGGTTGTATTTCCAGAATTACTTCTCTTTAATGCATTGGCTGAAAGAACACCTTTCCGGTGTCATTTTCATATTTTTGTGTCACTTGAATTCTAAAGTCAGTAAGGAGAGTAGAAGTGATGAGTGCTTGTTTATTTTATTTTTTGAATTAATTAATTTATTTACTTTTGAAGGATTCAACAGTGTTTCTCATGAGAATAGTGTACTGTGTTGTGCCTGGGTCTTTATGGACATTTTCTTTACGGTGTGAAGTATCCATGACGTTTTATTCTGCAGTGGAGCCCGAATAGAAAAGAAAGGAAACACACCATCAGAGGAGGCTCATTGTAAAACCATGAAGCTAAGAGGGTTTTTTTTGCTTCAGTATGTAATTTTTTGTCCCAAATAAAGTGATGGCTTGTCCTCATTTCCCTTTGCTCAACATTAAATGTGCATGATTGTGGTTGGAAAGTAGTAATAGAAAATTTTGGATAGCTTTCAGCTGATTCATTTCAGTAACTGGAGCAAAGGATTAGAGAAGTAACAGCTAGTTTTATGCATACTAATAATGAACACTTTGCAGATCTTTAAATAAACATTGACAGTTCAACTCTCCAGCAGCATTTCTTTTCTGCTCTTCTTCCTAATTAGGATAGAAGTCTGTGTGATCTCTCTTTAGTTTAGAAGATATAGAGAATGGTTGTGCAACAGTGAGGTAGGTCACCATATGAGGCTTGTATAGCTGCAAAGCAGATATGAAGGATTTGTACATTTGGCTTCCATAAAAACAGAATACCTGCCATGAGGCTTAAGGAGATCCTTGAAATTTTCCAGCTACTCTGAATAGAATGGAAGATGACTTTTTTCCCTGTAATTTTTGCTTCGAGTTAAGAATCCTACTAGGCCTATCAGCCAGATACCAAGTTTCTTGTTAGGTTTTACTTTATTGCTGTATTTAAAAAATAATATTCTTCCTGGATATGAGCTAAGGATGTTAGATTTCAGTCTTGCTTATTAGGTTTCATCCATATATATATATGAAGGTGTGCAACTGATGATTTCTTTGCAATTTTTCTAATTATTATTGCAATAATGCATTATTTTAATGCAAGATTTTTTTTTTATGTGAACAGTTATTGAGGATGCAAAATTATACTTCTACAGAATAAGATAGCGAATGTGTGTGTCATTTCTTCCATTTTTTTAAGCAGTTGAAACCTGAAATCTAATGGCCTCTTTTTTTGCTGTTAGTCAAAATTCCTCTGGAGATTAGAATTCTAAATGCATCCTGTACCATCTTGCCAAAGCAGAAAATATGTGAAACAATGTCAGGGGACAGAGGCTGACCAAATACAGTGGAGAACACAATGACTGAATTGCACGTTTCTTTCTCATTTAGGATTCTCTGGATGAAGAAGAAGATATTGATGACATCGTGGCCTCTCGTTATTCAAGGAAACGTGGACATCTGACAAGTGGATTATCAAGAGTAAGATCTCGAGTAGAAAATTTGTTTTTTTCCTTTCCTATCAGACCATTATTCCTTCAAAATAGACACTGTACTACTTAGAAGCATTACAGTTTATATTTTAGTAGTTTTCCTGGCCATTTCATCCTACAGTCGAGGAACATCCTTTAGCTTTTAGACAGAGTGTTCTCACTATTAAGATTTTTCCACTGTTCAGAGCTAAGACATCTCTGCAGCACCTGTGGGAAGAGACAACCTTTATCCATCAACAGATTTGTCCACATATTCAGGTTGCTGCCAAGCTAATATTTGGAGAAGGCAAGCCATAGATGTTTGCAGCATGTGGCGACTCAGCTTTCCAGAGGAGCATTTAATTTGTTTGAAATAAGTAGAACAAAGCCGTGGTGTGTTCTTCCATCTTATTTTGCTTTCTGAATGCTAAAGTTCTTGGGACACAAATATTCATTCTTCCATTATCTGTGACAGGACTGTTTCACCACCTCAATCTCAAAAAGTATTTCTTTTCACAGTGAGGAAGGAGATATTTGGGGGGTTCTGGTGGGGGCCAGCTTTTCTACCTTGTACAGTAACTGTGGTAATTTTTTTTAATGTTAGTCATGCCCACAAACTGTATAATCTAAATCACATGTTTGAGTCTTTTGGTTATCTGTTGCAACTTGCTGTTGGTTTTGAATGGTTGCATTTTCAGGTTGTTACGAATGCTTGGTATGCAACAAAATTAGCGTAACAAGTCTTATGCAGCTCTTTTTACAGTCAGTTATTCACTGTGATAGAGATCAGTTAATAGGAATAGTCTTTAACATGTCTAGTTTATAAATACTAGTGGTATTTATAGTAGTGTGTGTGTATTACTGGTATCTGACACTCAGGATGTGTGCATCTCATCTCTAGTGATGTCTTGGAGCATTATCTAGCCACTGTTCTTTATGCCTTGTGCTGAGAATAGCTCTGGCCAGCACACAGAACAGCAGTAGGCTGCAACAAACAACAGATAGAGCGTGAGAGAGTTGAAGAGAATGGATAGCTGGGGAGTCTAATGCTAAAAGGGAAGAGAAAATATGGTCCATGACACTGATTGGTGAACTGTTCTTTTCAGACTGTATTCCCGTTAGTCTTCCTGCAGTCAGAGCTGTGGGAATACACATTTTAGTTCTTGATCCCAAAGAGATGGTGTTGGCTGAACCCAAACTTGGGCTTATCTGAGGACAGCAAAGGGCTGAGAGAAGTGTCCCTGGAGAACATTTTGGTATCTCAGCTCTGCCCATGTCCAGACCTTTTTTTCCCTTTCAATTTGTGTAATTTGCAGAAGCAGCTACAACAGAGATATGTGGCACGTCACACCAATCAGACCGGAGGAAATGTGGCTTGTTTGATATTGGTCTAATAAAATCCACTTCTCTAAGGCTGACTATGACTCATTGTCTCCAATCCTTGCTGGCCCCAATGATTTTACAGGCAGAATTGTTTTTCTTTCCTCTGAATATTGGTAGGAAGATTGCAAGCACTTAAGTGCTTTCTCAATTCATCCCATTAATTGAGGAACTCTATTTAGCGATCCTTCCCTCTGTGTTCTGTAGGCAGTATTCTGCCTGTACATTGGATTTCATCCAATTCATTTTATGTAGAGTCCATTTTGACCTTTTCCTAAGCAGAGTGTAGCTCTGCTGCTGCTGGAGGTTTGAGGTAATCTCACATCTCAATGCTCTTATTTCTTTGTACTCACCCTAAAGTGATTGTTAATGTTACTGCATGCAGTGCTAATGGAGAAATTTTGAAAGGCCAGTTACTACTCTCTTGAAGAACGTGTCAGTATTACAGGTTCATTGTGGCTTCTTTATGTTTGTATTATTAGTTATTAACATTCATTCTCTCTTGTATTTTTTTCCTTTTCTCTTCTTGTTATATGCCTTTGAGCCCTCTGCCTCATACAATTTTTTCCCTGTATTTTACTTGTCTGTCAAATGACTACGTACTATTATTATGTCACATCGCAGTAATGTTGTTAGTGAACAATAGGCTTCAAGTGCATTTTTTTTTAAATATGAGAATTAAAAGTATGGCAAGGGTACTCTAACACTAAGCATTTGAAATAAAGGAAATATTTCAGAAGGTAAAAATGCTGTGCATCTACTTATATGACGGGTGAGCAAAAATAGGGATGAAAAATGGCATTAAACAGGAATTGTAGCTTAGCATTATGATGTTTTCTTTCTGTTTTTCCAAAACTAATACATGAACAGTTTATTTAGCTTTCCCTGCATCTTTCACTGATTCCTTTCCTAAGCACATCAATGTGTGGCTGTCAAGACCTATCACGTCATTAAGACTGACTTGTTCCTGTGCCTTCCTGCTCTAGTAAGATAAGATTCAGAACAAGTGTAGTTCATAGTGATGGACTAAAATGAGGCGAAGCAACCTTCATGTGCAGTGCTTGTTTACTACTTATGCAACCGGAAAATGATTAGATTTCCTAGGGACGTTGCGTTTAGCGTGTGTAAAGGCTGTTGTAATTTCCACAGAACAGAATGTGCAGAAAGAAGACAAATGTGTCATATTGCGGTTTCTAAGCAGTTCAGAAGTTGCATTTGCATAGATTCTAAGGTCAGAGGTCATTTATGTGTTTAGGATTTCCTGGTTGTTTTTTTCCTTGCTGCCAATATACTTCAAGATCAACAAAAAGGATATTTGGGTTCAAGAGAACAGATATTCCCTCTGGCCACATTGGTGTAACCTTATTAGATTTTTGAGATGGGTATATGGATGGTTATTTTCTTTTTTGTTTCTTCTCCTGGACTCTGTTCTTTCTTCCTTCCTGTAGCTGCCAGGGAAGGATGTAGTTTCCCATGAATTCATTGTGGGGACTTTCAGGTATTGCTCAAATAAACAGACACTGCAAAGTGTTTTCCCCAGTATTCTGTAACTGTATTTTCCCCCCCAGTGACACGCTTAAACATTTATGCATATTTTTTCCATCTGTACTTACAAACTCCTCAGAGAAACTGCTTTTTTTGTTGTTGTTGTTTTTATTGTTGTTGCTGTTTACAAAGACAGCAGTGCTGCAATACAGGACTGTTTACCTTTTGACTAGCCTAAGTAAAAACTGAGTTCACAGAGGTGCAACTGGGGCACATCCAACTACAATCTGATACGAATCTAAATTTTTTTCTTTTTGAGACAGCAGGTAACTTCATTTCTATTTAATCACCTTGAGCCATGTGTCCTTCAGCACTTGAAGTATTTGGAAAACACTTTGCATGTCTCTGATTTGGCAATATTTTTTCCTTCTTTCTTGCTGTGGCTTTGTGACATGAATTGCATTTACCTGTCTGTGTAGGTAATGCATTATCACTGCATTTATTCTTTCTTACTGCAGCTATCTAATGCTCTTTTCTGTTGACCTTTTGCACTGCTTTCTTTAAAGAACTTCCCAGAAGGCTCTGACAGAAAATGGAACTTCTTAAATGTGCCTGAAACAGACGGTGATACTGTGAGTTCTCTGCAGTCCTCTGTTTAACTTACTTTGAAGATTTCTCTCTTTTTTCCCTCTGAATTGGAAACTGTATCTGTATGTCTTGCACAGTTTTATGTAGTGGGATTTGTATCATTATGCAGCTCTTTGAGCCATCTCAAAGAGATCTTCAAAGACTAGAAATCTGTTGAACGTTTTCTTCTGAGAATGTCTTCGCATATTGCTCCAATTTTCTTTTAAACATTTAATTCTTTTCTAAGTGAAATCTTTTGGAGGAGGATTTTCCTGTTGCAATACTCCATAGGACAGCAGCAAAAAAATAGAAAAAATAAATTAAAAAAAAAAATCAGGGTGTGGTATATTACACAGTGGAAGATTTTGTGGGATTTTTAATAATTTTTTTTTTTTTGCTTTAGGAAAATTGCACTAATGGTGGGTATTGAATTTTGCTAATTCTTTTAGAAATGCAAATGAGAGGTTGGTGTCACTTTAATCAAGTGTGTATTTACACCATTTTCATTAAGGAATCATCTTTAGAGCTCTTTCTAATGGTTCTGTCAGCAGTTATCTCATGGTATTCAACAAGAATTAGCTGGACAGCTGAGCCAAAGAGTTGATTTTTGTCTGCTTGGAGCTTATATGAGCTTACAGTTGATGTAGGTTGACTGCTCTTTAGCTCATGCATGAATTCAGTGGTGAGAATTTACATTTAGTCATGTTTATAAGTAGATTTGAGTCCTGCGTGTAAAAAACATAAACTGTCTAGATAAATAAGCTATTAGTTATAGTTCTTATTCCCTTTACATCAAATATAAGCCAGTGGTATTCTTTTCTTTCTTCCATCTCTTTTCAAAGCAAGTCTTAACAAGTGAGAGTATCTGTGACCCTATGAAAAGCAGATTCTAGACAATGTACTTTTTGTAAGCTTCTAAGTCCTTTTTCTCTTCTCATCCAGACCAGCATTAACAGCATGCTGAGCGTATACAGTGAAACTGGTGACTATAGCAACGTGAAGGTCAGTGGTGAAATCCTTCTGCAAATCAACTACAGCTACAAAACAGGTGCTCTCAACATCCTGGTGAAGAGTTGCAGAAACCTGGCCATTGTGGATGAGAAAAAACAAAGGACTGATCCGTAAGCACACGCAATTTGCTTTTTAGGCCCTGCAAGGGCTGTTCTCCAACACATCACACGCTGTAGTCAGTAATGACATAACCTGCTACAGGCCAGCATTTTGGTGGTGGCTGTTTTTTGGATTCTCTATGGAAAATACGTTTTCATTATGTTTCTTAGTGTAGTGTGCAGGTGTTCTGAGGAAACAATGTTACTTAAATTATCAACTTATTTGCTAGTATTCTCTGCAAAAGGGCAAAAGCAGGAATTAATGGGGAGGCTGAATTGATTTCTTACTCCTAGGAGCAAAGCTAAACTATAGAAGAATGTTTTGGAGGGAGTGAGGGAAATAGCTTTGTGGTGTGCGTCAGTAGATTAACTTTGCTAGGACAGTGTTTTCTGGGATTCACATTATAGTTTTCAGTATATTATGTCAGTTCTCATAGATGAGGAATTAATAGTATCATCTCTAATCCTGTTTTATGTCAGATATGTTTTTTTTTCAATCTCAGCTGTTTTTTGGATGTACACTGTGATATATAACTAGTCAAGAGTCATAGTACTGCGCAAGGGAAAATGTTGGGAAAGTTTTCTGTATTTCTGAGAATTATTGAATTGATTTAACCCTTAAGCAGTTGTGTTACTCTGATCCTATAGGACCAGCACTGCTGCGTTTGCAGAGAAAGACCATACCTTACCATGTTTCACATATTGGCTGTTACATACATACATTGTTTAGACTGCAGAAATTCATTTCCTCATACTTGTTGCTCATGCAGCAGTGGCAGGTCCTTGCTCAGATTTTTTGTTTTCATTCCTCATTAATAACTTACTGCTTGGTCCACAGATACGTCAAGGCATACCTTCTGCCTGATAAGTCCCGCCAAAGTAAACGCAAGACCAAAATTAAGAGTAACAGCACCAATCCAGAATTTAATGAAACGCTGAAGGTGAGAACGCTCTCTCTCCCATAGGCTGTGATGAATGTTCCACTTGTGTTTGTAGGCATTCTCTATAAATGCTCCTGTACAGGAATTAGGATTTGGAAACGATGCTTCAGAAAGAAAATAAAGCAAAACATATAGTAATTGTGCGAGTTGTAATTTCTTACTTTCAGCACTGAGGAGCTGTTTTTGTTTGGTTCTCTTCTTCACAGGTAAGATTTCTGTTAATTTCTGTAGGTTTCTATCAAACTATCGATGTTCCCATTTAACGTGATCTCAGAGTTAAACACTCCTTAGAGGTTTTACAAGCCCTCCATCAACAACTGATGCTGAGACAGAGATAGCTTGAAACTTCCTAACTGATTTCTAGGAGAAGATAACCTCTTTCAGTAAAATGTGATTTTCTGTGGAGATTTTTCTTTATTTTTAAAGCAGAACCGACTTCAGTAGTAAAATGCCAACAACAGCTTCACTGGCTGCATCTCTAAAAAGTTCATTTTATGTTGCAAAAGAGAACAAGAGACTACTTCCTGCAGGACTGGTTGAGCAGAATGCCCATTTTCTTTCCATCCCCACCTCTTACTCATGTCCAGCCTACACAAGCTGGAAAGGTTTTGTGTTCTCCATGAGCTGCCTGGCATCTAGACCACAGACTCTTGGTGATTCTGCTTCCTGTCAACTGACTGGAGTCATCCCAGCCAGCTGTCATAAAGCCAGACACTCTTTTCAGATTCTCCTGAAAGAGTTTTGAGGGAATTTTGGTGATGCTTTAAATAAATTCTTATAAGAGAGACTAATACGTATTCTCTGGCTTGTACTCTTGGCCTAACCTGGCTACAAAACCATTTTGTAGACTTACCTTGGTCTGTCCAGGCAGCTTGCCAGGGGAGAGTCTCCTATTTAGCTTCATTTTTAAATAGTTTATAGTAAAGTTATTTCTTGCCTGCAGTGGAGAGATTAAAAAATTAAAATTAAAAAAAAAAGAAAAAATGTGTTAGACTCTATTTGGCAGAGCTCATAGTTAGTGCTAAGTGTTTGTTAGTAGGGAGCTCTGCAGGGATAAGACCCAGCAGCTTGCTGAAAATGGAAATTGTGACACAAAGGATTTACTAGAATTGCTGGATGGTAAGCAAGAGCTAGATTTATTTGCTGCAACTGTTACTATCATTAAAAATATGTACGTATGTATGTATCTGTCTTTATCTTTTGTCTTGCATATTTATTCCATTATTGCTGAATATTGCTGTTCTCATAGTTGGCATCTAGGAGTAAGCAGTGTAGACATATGTATACTTTAATAGCCTGCTGACATGGCTAGCCAACCCGCTTCACCATTTCAGATTCTGGAGAATATATCTGTGTCCAGACATTGCACCGAGAGCAAACAAAAAGAAGACATCTGGGTTTCCTCAACTAACACTTGAAGAAGGGTGAACATCATGGAATTAATTGGCTTTTTTTTTTTTTTTTTTTATACTAAAAGTGGAGATAGAATTCCAGATGTTTATAGTTTTCTCTATATATTTGAATATGATGTTTCCTCTGAGGATTTTTAATAACTTTCAAAACAAACTGTGTTGCTGAGACTGAGACATTTTGGTGAACACGTTACAGATACAATTTTACTTGTTTTCAGAACAATGATTCCGAAGTTACAAAGATAGAATTGAAGAGAACACTATTTCTAGAATGCAGTGTCCAGCAGCCTTTCCTTAGTGATGAAAGAATCAGTGGGGTTTCTTCTTACAAACTAAACTTTGGTATTGAACTGCTTCCTTTACATAAGCTGTAAGGAATTAACAGGTTGATGGTTTTAAACGTTGTTATTTACTTTACAGCCATAAATACGCAGTAAGTAATACAGAGAAAAGAGTTAGGTTTAACAGCTTCCTGTGAGATTTCTAGCTATTGAAGTCGTCTTTGCAAAGCAAACAAATCTCTCTTTCATGCTTCATTTATTAGCTGCTGCGGGTTTCACAAAACTTAGCTATTACTGTAAAAGGCTCCATGGAAACTATTATTTATGCTTATTTTGAGGGTTTCTTTTTCTGTTTTTTTTTTTGTTGTTGTTTGTTGGTAGTATGTCATCAGTCATACGCAGCTAGAAACCAGGACCCTGCAGCTTTCAGTCTGGCACTATGACAGATTTGGACGCAACAGCTTTCTTGGAGAAGTGGAAATTCCATTTGATTCCTGGAACTTTGAAAATCAGGGCGATGAGTGGTTTGTGCTTCAGCCCAAGGTAAGGGTTTCCAGGGACCAATGAAACCACCGAGAAGCAAATTTAGTGAGGCTTAGTTATTTTTTCTTTGGAACATATTTATAGAACGATGACTTTATGATTGTTTAATATGGAGGTGAAAATCATGCCTTTGTGTTTTATTCAGTCAGAACATAAGATTTTCATTTTCATGAAGACTTCAGGAACAGTATATATTGTTGGCTACTTAAAAAAAAAAAAAAAAAAAAAAAAAAGAACAAAAGCACCAAGAAACACCTTTTAAATAAACTATATGTTCATTTTGCTGCAAACTGCAGTGGAAAAATGATTGAGGAAAGGATTTAATTGATTTTTCTACCACTATTCCAGTCCAGCCCTCAGCAGTTTAGTAAGGAAAAAGACTTTTTCTGCTTCAGTTCAAAGTTCTTCACTCTTTTCAGGTGTAACAAAATGACTTATAATCTCTCAATCACCCCATCCAGGAAGGTTTAAGATGAGGCTTCTCAGCAGGTAAATCAGTTAGTTTATGAAATAGGACTTTCACTGTACTTAGCTACAGACAGGATGACTTTGGTCTTTCAAACACCCCTTTGGCAAGGGCAAAGGTATGTATTTTTGTAAGAGATTCAAATTGTTATTTTAAGGTTGAGGATTAAAGGCTTCTGAATTGCTTGCTCCTGCAGCAGCCAGAATCCCCAGGAATTGTAGTGGTTTAGATTGCTATTTCAGAAAGTTTCTTTTTCTTGATAAAGGAAAATCTGAGATTGTATTGCAGATAATACAGAGACAGACTTGGATAACTTATTTGTTTCATTCTCATTATACATTAGTGTTATATTTGGGGCTTTAGGAGGGGCTGCTTGACTTATTTCCCACAAATGACAGTATAATCTGATTGCTGTATAATTTCCAGGCATGACCTTTTTTGGGTCTTACATCTAAGCTGTCAAATGTATACTTCAGTAAGCAATAACACAGAAGATACATTAAGAAATTGGTCTCTTCTTAACGTGTGGACATCTCACACTTTAGAACCAGCAAGGAAGATCACCTCCAGTTTGCTAGTTTAGTTTTGTTAGTAAGAGTGATCAGCATCTGTTCCTTTATGGCCCAAATGAAACAGAAGATACCAGGAAAAGAAACTGCCTTATGATGGCAAATCTGCTTCAGTCAGCTTAGCATCCAGGCCAGGATTATACCATCCTTCTTACAAGCTTGCATGACCCTCACCCAACTTATATCATATAGTTTGCTCACATTGGCTCTGCTCTTGTAGTAGAATGAACATCTGCCACATCTCTGGTGTATCCCTTGCTGGTGTTAGATCTAGTTTAGAACCAACTCTTCTGCTACTGTAAGATATGCATCCTCTGTTTGTTTTGCTCAGAGTTTGATTGAAGTTGAGAGGTTTTTTTTTCATGCAGTAATCTCTTCTTATTTCAATGTCTGGGGGCCTTGTTTGGAGATGAAAAAAAGTCTTCGGGAGCTCCTGCTTGGGAAAAATAGTAATGAGATGCTAAGCATTTAAATCTTTCCAACTAGAAGGTCTTGTCTGATTTTTTCCAAACCCATTACAAGGACTTTCATACTTGATTTGTTCTTTTTTTAACCAAAGAAATAAAATGCAAAATTGGACTTTTCTGACTCCTAAGTCATTATAAATAATGTTTCTGAACTTAAAATACTGTTAAGATTGTTGTTCAGCAAAGATAATATTTCTTCTGAAAGCTAAATTATTGTATTTTAAATTAAAAGAAAAATGCACAGGGTAACACGTAAGTTATGGTAACAGCAAGTTATGTGCTGTTCTGTCATATAAACTGCATGATGGAGAAAGAAATGGCAGTGAGACATTCTGTGGGTTTTATTACAAAGTATTATTTATCTTGTATCATTTAGCAGCTTTAGTGAAAATGCTGGAGACATGAGCACAACATCACCTATTTTCAAGAGGAGCATGATTAAATCAGAAAAAGAAAATAATTCTGTGGTTAAAGAAGGAATCAGAGTCTAGAGCCACGTTGTTTGTAGGGAAGGTTGGCAAACTGTTCCTGATGTGAGAATTTATGCCATCATCTGTCCCCCAGTATAACAGAAAAATAATCCTCGTGGCCTTTATGGGAAACTGATGCAAAACCTATGTAGTTGAGACTTTAAATGAGCTGCCCTACTGACAAAATTTAAATGATGATTTCTTGTTATTAAAATTATACATACATATACAGCATTTACTACAGGTTTTCTTTTTGGACCTTTGTTGTAGCAACTGGCATCAGACACTGGTGCCATCTTGGTACTTTTTTAAAGTATCCTGGATGTGCTCTTCTTAGGCAAGATCAAATGCTTTAAAATAAAAAGGTGCAGGAGATAACCTTAGTTTTCACAGTTTTCTGTTGGAGAGCTGTTGGAGTTCTCTTCCCCTGCAGTGGTTCCCCACACCTCTGTTCCAGCTTTGACTCAAGAGCGACTCTTGTAAAATGCATGAAGTCTATTATGGATTAAAACCTCTTTGGGATAAGTAAGGGCAAGAGAATGTCATCTTAAATTAGCAGATTATGTTTCTATAAATGAATTTGAGTTTTCTCTTTGTTTGTTTCACTCATTCGTGCTAGATATCTCTCTGTCCTGTGTATGTTCACTGTATGGTGTCTACTGCCGTGTGACCTTGATTTGTTTAAGAAGCAGTTCAAACACTATTGATACAACAAAGTTAAAATCAAACAGCAAAAATGAGTGATTAGCTTTAGCTGGATTTATGTTTGGGGGCTATTCATTTATTTATATTTTGCTTTCAGGTGGAGGTTGCAACAGATGTTGGGCTTCAGTATAAAGGAGAACTGACAGTTGTTTTACGTTACATTCCCCCAGAGATAAACTTGATGCTTCCTCTAGGGCAGTTTCAAGGTAAAACAATCATCAGTGACAGTTTACAATAACATCCCTCAGTATTAAAAATCCTCAGCTAGTATGAAGACATGAAATTAGTGGAAATTTAAATCAGGCTTGAATATATTAGTTGTCTTTATCTGTGGAAATTCTGAACCATAAGTAAGTTTCCCCTCTGTCCTCTTGTGTTACATTGGACTTAAGGAGAGGGAAGGCAAAGAGGAGCGTGCACAGTAAAGTGTTGATGTGTGGCTGTGTCCTAGTTACAAAAGGCTAAGACACTCAACAGTATGACCAGGGACAGCTGCATACACACAAATCTTCTGAACCATAGTCCTTGTGTTCTTTGTTCAACAAGTTGTAGAATAGTGCTATAGCAGATCAGAGTAATAGACTTCCCTTAGTTCTTGCTTAATTGGCCACAAACTTGCCTATATCATTTTAAGTTTACTTTTGTTCAGTTTTGCTGCATTACACCAGTAATTCAGTCTTGTAAAATATCATTTTAATGGCTTAGGGTAAACCATTATTCTTATTAGTAATGAGTGAGGGATAATTTTCTGAAGCGACAAAACCCACTAGATTGCACCTGAGAATACATGGTTTTACAGGCTGCAGGTAGTCCAGGAGGAATTCTTTCTTATTGACAGTGTTGCTGTTTAGCATTAGGATTTGATAGACGTACTATTTTTTCTTTTTTTTTTCTTGACAAATAACATTCCCTCTGTTTGCAGTAATCTAAGGTTTTCTCTCTGAAAGCCAATCGCTGTCCAGAAAGTGTAGATGTACTGTTTGCATTTTTTTTAAATAGTAACAGTTTAACATCATTCCTATTCTTCTTTTCCTTATGTTTCCAGTCATAATCAGTGTAAATGATCCATGCTGATACATACCTTAGAATCCACAGCAGGAGCAAGTAACGTGTGTCCTCATGTAGCTGTTTAAATGCAGTAGTGTGTCAGTGAGCACATGTCCTTCCTCACTGTCTCTGAGGAACCCTGTATCCTTACAACAGGAATGCACACAGTATATTTCTGCATTTTTAAACTTTGGGACAGATTTTTTTTTTCTTTGTTTGGGATGTTTGGCTTCCGTAAGGTCAGAGGTGGAATTGGATTCTGAAAGGAGGATTGGAATTATGGCACATGCAGGTCCTTCTGTTCAGCATAGTAATCCACAAATAATTACATTCAGGAAGGCTCCCCTCACATACGACACCCTGCCCCTGCCTTTTCAGTTTCTATACCCTTAGAGAATCAAAATCTGCTATAAGAAATCCTTTAAACCCATTGAAGGAAATGAGTAAAAGAATCCAGCCATGAGAATTTAAGTTTCCAAATCAGTTTTGTAGTGTATGGTTTCTGCTGATGACGATATTGCAACTCTTTTGTGTGTGTAGGAAAGAAGAGCTTTAAGAAAGGAAAAAAGGGAGAGAATCACCCACTCTCTGGAGGTATATTAGAAGTCATCATCAAAGAAGCTAAGAATTTAACAGCAGTGAAATCAGGAGGCACATCAGACACGTTTGTGAAAGGGTCAGTAGCTTTTTCTGCCCTGTTATTTATTGGCTGCATTATATAGTTCTTTAACCTTTTTTTTCCCCCCACTGTATCTGTGTAAGTGTGTGTGGAAAGTCAGTACTGAAAAGCAGCTGCCACTTTGAAATGGGATGGTGAAGGATGTGTTGGATAAGGACAGAGAGGTCTCAGTTGTCCCAGTGCTTAAATACCAGCCTATCTAGACTCACACAAGAAACAGTATGTAATCTGTGTCACTTACTACATTAAAGCATATTCATTGTCCTCACGTGCGCACTGTTAAAGAACAAAGAATATAGTTTGGTGAAATAAACCACTTCCACTGAGTCAGCAGAGAGAGGTAGGGGAATGTTCATCACTCTTGGAGGTAAGAAGTCAGGTTCATACACTGGAGATGATACCTGATCTAACAGTAACCTTTACATTTCCAGCAAATTGAAACACACATTTTTATGAGAGGAGCTGAGAATTTGCTCTATCACATAGCATTATTGTACTCTTTGTCTCTGTTGCAATTTCCATGGAAATAAATAGCAGGCGTTACGTTCAAGATGACCTTTTTATTGAATAAACAGTACTTTTGGTGGACTGTCAGAGTATATAGAAAATGCTACATACAAGGTGTACTTGTAATTGAATAAAATGAGCATAATGTCTCATTATACAGGTCTCGTTATACTGGATTTTCAGTAAACTAAGGAAATAATGGATAGCTTAAAACATTTTTCTTTCCTGGTTTTTGCTCTCAGTGGTAGCTTTCAGAATTGCTAAATTTTAGATGTATAGTTCACTAGTGATTATTTGAGTCTTGTTTCTTCAAGTGTCCATATCAAAAATCCTGCCCTTCATTCCTTGGAAGAGCTGAGAATTTGTCTTGATCTGTCAGTCTGATTTGAACTTTCACTAAGCTCGTATACTTCATATTGAAAAAGTTTTAACTATTCTATATAAGCATTTGTTCTTCCACACTATCTGTTTTCCTTCCAGTAAAAGGTATAGTTCCTTTTACTGAAAAATAGACTGACCCCATTAAGGCTTGTTTCAACATGGAGCCTGCAGCAGATCTCAGGGAGAAAATATTGTCAAAGTTATTTTACATTAGCAGTAGCAATGTGTGGCCAATAATTCTGTGATATATTCTTAGTGGTGTCAGCTCTTGCTGACATAGATCATTCAGTGTGGTGGAACTGGCCTCTGTTTACCTTGCACTATTGACTGGTTGTCTGTCATGTGTCAAGTTGCCATGAACCAGTAGAGGTACTGCAGTAGTCTGATCTGCACTATTTCTTTCACTAAAGGAATTCTTCACTAAAAATAAAATATGAAATAAATTTCAGGTTTCACAGTATTGATGTTTCTTTTCTCAGTAAGGCCACATAGGTATAGGTGATAAACTTCTAGAGTTCCTTCTTTGTCAGTCATTTCTGTTTCATTTGAGAAGACCTTCTTTTCTGCTTTGAGAGGCCTGCTGTGAAGCCATCTCATCCGTCCTCCCATTCTATCCAACATTTTAATGACTGTATGTGTCACATGGAAATAAAAAATATTTTTATATAGGAAAAAAATGAAAGGCATGGGACAAGGAGACTTGATTTCATTTTCTGATGGTGATAACTAAAATTGTAACTGTAAGAGCAGCAAATGGTGCACAAATGGAACCGACGTACACACTTTGGGTGTATACTTAATTTAATTACAGTGGGAAATGGGTCTCTGACCTTATTCAAGCTGTGTGTGATTGTAATTCTTTATGAGTATTGTGGGACATCCTATCTACATCTTCAGCTTTCCTTTTCTCTGTCTCTCAGGTATCTACTCCCAGATGATAACAAAGCTACAAAACACAAGACTCCCATAATAAAGAAGAATGTGAACCCCCAGTGGAATCATACGTTTGCTTTCAGTGGCTTGAATTCACGGGATATACATAATGTCTGCTTAGAATTGACTGTGTGGGACAAGGAGTCACTTTCAAGTAATATTTTTCTGGGAGGAGTTCGTTTGAGTACTGGAAGCGGTAAGGTCCCATCTTATTGATGATTGTTTTCCTTATTCTGCTCTCCTTCTTTACCACCCCAAGTGATTCATATGTACGAGGTATAGAAATGTTATTGAGTGTATGAAAAGTATACAGAAGTTCTGGGAAACTGGAAGGGGAGAGGAGGCAATGTGTCATCCATTTATGATTTAGTTCTTTCCTTCATTGGGTGAGACACAAAAACGTGGAGCCCAGTTGCACTTCAAACTGGTGTTATCCAGAAGCAGCTCCCTACAGAGGCAGTAGTGTAAAGTGCTTGTCATCTTTCTGTAGGCTGTTGGAGTGAATGAACAGTGGTATTAAGTAACTGCTTACTAATAGTGCAAAAATATGTAATGTCTTTGTAATTTCCAGGCATAAGTAATGGCAAGGAGGTTGACTGGATGGACTCACAAGGAGAAGAGCAGCTTCTCTGGCAGAAGATGATTGACAGTCCTGGAACTTCTGTGGAGGGGATATTAATGTTGAGATCCAGCATGGGAAAACGTAGACTCTGAAAGACTCTCTACTACTGAGGGGTAGCACAAGTCCTTATTTCAGTTGTGTGCAGCTCTTGTCACTTTGCCCATTTGAAAATGGGTAAGGGTTGTACTCTTTGCCTTGGATATTAAGGCTTTATGTGAAATTTTAATACATTCTGCACTTTCATGCACTCATTTTTAACCCAGACTTCTTGAACAGATTATGTTTTTCCTGCAACCTGTGAGAATGTGACCTCCTACAGAGATTGGACTGGCTTTCTTTGTCCCTTCTGGTGGCTGGTTGTGTACAGCTGATAAACATTGCTGGCAGGGGACATGGAGCAAGCAAATTCTCTGAGTAGCCATTTAGGATGTAAAGTGTGTTTTACATATCTCCTTTTGGGTCAAAGATGGCCTAGAAGACGAGAGCGATTCAGTACATGCAGATTCCGAATGAATCTGTGCTTCGTTATTTGAAAGACTAGAAGCCATAATGTTTGGAAGTCTAACATTTATTTTTTATGTTTGCTCATTGGACTGTGCACTGTGCAGGATGGCAGGCATGGAACCAAGTAGCTCACTAAGGCCAATTCACTGGCCAGCTGCACAATGGAAATAGTCAGCAGATGAAGGAGTCTGAAGTGCCTGTGTTCAGGCGTTCTCTTGGTTATTTAGTGCACTGTATGAGAAGTAGACTTGGCTCAGTGTGATCAAAGAGTCTCTAATGAAAATAAATTATAACAAATCCTAAAGAATTTTCAGAACTGTGTGATATTACCACATTTTTCATTTCAGTTGACAGCTCTATCTAAGATCTTTCAATGTCATTGAACAAAAGGAATTACATGCCTGTCCCACTTGATGAGTCAGTGAGGTGAGACACATTCTGGTTTGTGCCATAGCTAAGACCTTGGCTCAGCAGGGTGTGTAGTAAAGTAACAGGATTAATGCATGTTCCAGGATGCTTTGCACAACTGTGGAATTTTTTCAGAATGGGCTGGGATCCTGTTCAAGTTTGCCCATGCATGTTATTTATTAAACAGAGCAGGATTTTTCTCCTCAGCTGTCCTCCAAACGTTAGCAGTAGATTTAATAAGAGTGGATTTTGACTGATTCAGTCATTAATCTTCCTTACCACAAACGTTTGCCATTTGGTTTCCTAAAGTGATCTTTATAACTGCTTAGGTCTGCCGTGCTTTGGAGACTTGCAGGTTGTAAGTGAAGAGATGCTGTTTTGTATCAGTGTGGGCTACCACAGCATTACAAACAGTAGTAGTAACATAATAAGATAGAATTATAATCTTTTTCAAGGACAGAAAATGTCTGTTTGCAAGATTGGATATTAATATAATTGCATGGCTTGTAATTGCTCAGGGTGTGAAACAGAGGAAGACAAGTAAACTGAATGAGCAACATTTCATTTGGATCTCTCAGAATTGGATCATAGCTTCCTATTTGAACTATTTGTAATCAGTCTCTAAGTACATTTCTTATGTATTTTTCCCCAAATACCTTATTTTGGAAACAGTATCATATTAGCACTAAGGAAACAAATTTGAATATTGGGAAACATAATCCCTACATAAAGTATCTAGGGGAAAAAAAAAAGCTTTCAGAAGATGTGTCTTTCTCTGCAGGTCAAAGCACCAGTATTCAAAGATTTCTGTGAAGAAGGCCATAAAATCTAATTGGTGAGAGAGAAGGAAATACTGTTCCTCACAGAGTAAAAGTTGCAGGAAATCTAGATTGAACTGACTAGAAAACTGATAGCTAAGTATAGATTAAAATTTTTTCATCTGTAGCAGTCCTGGTTAGTCACCTAAGTCACCTAAAATTCTGATGTGAATTTAAGCAGTCATTGGAAGTAATACCTTTTCTCAGTTTGAGACCCTAGTTTTCAGAAATTACTGAGTCATCTTTAAAAATGGAGTTTGCATTTAAGAATTCCATGTTGGGAATCAAATGTCAATGTTTTCTTGAAGCTTGTTCAAGAAAACCAGCTTCATTTTCCTTCTTCAGCTGTTCATTTCCTTCTGCAGTCCTGCTCAAACTGGACAATGAAGCAAGCTCAGTGCAGCTTTAATCTGCTTTTCATCTTATGCAGCAGGTGCTGCAAGCTGATAAAGTAGAGCACAAATATCAAGCACGCACATTTTATGATCTTCCTTTTATCATTATAGTCTTCTTTTCAAAATTAGATTTTTTTGTATCTGCATCCTCAAAGGGAAGTAAAAACTTGCCTTTGGCACCAAAATTGCCTTCTATTTATTGCTCTGCAAGCCAGCTGATGTGGGAGCACAAGTTTGATTTTTCATTTGCTGGAAGTTGGCTTAAGAAGATAAATCTTGTTAAATCTAATGATTCTTCAGGATAAAATTGCAGGTAGGGTTATTGGGGAACAGTGGGCAGACTGATGGGGTTGTTTCTGTTTCATTTTGGTGTTGGAAATAGAAAAATAATGACACAAAAAATATACCAAGATGGACCCCAAAATTGAAACCTTTATCCCTCACCAAATTGAAAACCCTAAAATATTTGGAAACTGAGCTAAATCTTTTACTTAAAATGGAGTATAAGATGGAGTGTAAGCATTTATGTAATTTTGAAGGGTATTTTCTAAGAAGTGCTAGCATTGTATCTAAATCTAGTCTTGCTTTGAATTGAAGTCTGTGTTTTACTACTTCGGCTTCTACCAGCTTCCCTCCCATTTTTAGGACCTGTGTTAGAGTATGAGATAAATAGATTCATCTGGAAAGCATCACCTGTCTCCTATAGCTTTTGGAAGGGACAGAATTTCACTCTGAGCCTCTACCTGAAAACATAGGCCAGGCTAAGAATAGTCTCTAGATGTCAACTGCAGTTCAGTCTATGAAGGGAACAATTTCAAGTGGGAATTTAATTCAGCCAAGGCAGAGAGTGTTGTGGGCCATTGATGGGATTTGGAGTAGTGCAGTGAAATTACCTCCTAGGTTAGCAGTGGTGATTGTGCATTACGGTAGCATACAGGGCATATCATGCTCTGCCTCAAATGAGCTTCAGAAAAATGAGTCATCAGTATAGACATTGGAGCAATTTGGCTGTTCTGTGATGTTATCGACAGGTTTGTTGAAAGCATTTATTTGTGGAAAATGTCACATTTAATTATCGCTGTTATATCCTCTTTCTCTTCCTTTGCAAAAATGATTTATGGTTTGGAAAAAGCACGAGATGATTAACTGCAGATGTGATTTCTTGTTTCTGAAATATTGGCGCAAATAGCCTATGACTGTGTGTCATCACATATCGTGCTTTACTAGGCTGAGCAGAAATAGAGAAAGTTAGAGCCAGTTAAAGCATTCTATATGTATAAATGTTTGTGATATTGAGGTGCATGGGTGGTTTATCTAAGACCAGTTTTTGGGAAAACAGAGTCAGTTTTGACACTGATTCATTAACTCCTATCTTGATTAATCAGACACAGGAGAGCTGATGTTTTAAAAATATTTCTCCATGCAGACTTGAATAACTAAAGATGCTGCAGTGAAGAAGAGATTTCACTACAGTATTTTTTGTAGATATGATTCTACTAGTGGTGTAACAACAAGGCTTTCATCACTGTCTTTCCCCCCTTGATACTTGATTCTGACAACATAATTTGACCCATTAAGGCAAAATAAAAGTACAACTTGAGCTGTAAAACTTCATGTGAAGACAGTAAATACATCCCTAGATAGTGTGGTTATTGCCAGTATCTATCAGGAAGAGCTGATGCTGAGGGCTGTCCAAGCCCTGCCATCAGACTTGATTATCCAGACCTGTTCTCTGGATGTTTCTCTGCTCAACTTATTAGTTACGTGGGGACTTCAGGCTTCTAAAAGTCAGTGATCTTGCTTGCATGTTTAGATGCTAAAACCAGTTCAGATGGCCTCTCTTTCTCCTCCATCTCTGTCACATTACTATCTTCCTGTGCTAATCCAAGTGCCATTGCCTACCTTCAATGCCTTTTAGATAACACATTTTGACATTTCTCTCCCAGCTGGATGCTTGGCAGTTGGTTTACGAGAGAAAGCAATGGGATAGTGAGTATGCTTTGATCAAAATGCATTAGACTGGAAACTTAATGTTCTTTGTCTCCTCCAATAGAGATTTAGCTAGGGTAGCATAAGAGAAATCATAGAATCATGGAAATTGAAAAAGACCTTCAAACATTGTTCAACCATTAGCCGAATCTGCTGAGTCCTATCACTAAACCAGGTCCCTTTGTGCCACATTCGTGTCTCTTCAGTACCCCCAGAGATGGGAAATAAGCATTTTGAAGTATTGTGGTTGATATTTTCTTTTCCCTCCTGGTTAGGCCCTGTGAGGTACAAGTAGGCAAAGTTGTATTCTGCAAAATGTGAACTAAATTGCAGCAGCAGAGCAGCCATTGAGCATCCACTGATGAGGTCATATGAGGGAAGCATAGAGGCTGGCTTTGTTCTGGCTTCACAAGGGGTATGCACGTTGGCCAACTTCAGGCATGTAAAGCTTGTGATTTGCTCTAGAGTCAATGAAAATAAAGTCTGAGTCTTGTTTCCATGACTGTCAAGTCTGTTGTTTCACACAGGGAAGTAAGGATTATACCTGAATCTTTGCGGGATCTCTTCCCTCCATCCTTCCTTTCAGTTCAGCAGCCTCCACCAGGAAACTGTTCAAGTTTTTGTCAAGTTTGTCCAACTATGACCCCATGTTCCACCTCAGCATTAATCTCTGGTACCCAGAAGGAGGCAGTGTGCAGTAGTTAAGGAATAGTTTACGATGGCTAGGTGAGGTAAAAACTGAAATTGCCCTTTCCTAACATGCAGTATTGATTTTCAACAATGACAGAAATAGCTGTCTCTTGAGAGGTGGTATGTGCACTTTGTAAACTCTCTATTTTTTTTCTTTTGATACAGTTTTTGAAGATGGTTATTATTTATTTTTATGTGTAGAAATATCAATGTTGGAGGAACTTAAGAGAAATGATGGTAAGAACATGTGATTAAATCCAAAATTGGATGCAGAGTTTTATTTGCAGAGATGTTTCTTACCTTAACTCAGTATGAGGCACTGGGAATCATGCTTGTAGAGCCTTACCACTACATCCTGTGAATTTCCTGCCTGGTGATTTCGTGTTTGCAGATGCTGTTTGATAAGTGATAATAAGACAGTATTAATTATACTGTGTATAACTGTTATACTGGAAAGGGAATCTCAACTTGCTTTCATAGGTGTTCCTTAGGTTGCTTTTGAGACTCACCCTTGCTGCATCACGGCCCTTTATGTAGGATCGCTATTTCAGCAATTCTACTCTGTGGCAACAACCTACCTACGGCTTTGCACTACTGCTCTTGAGAGCTGCCTGTGTGTTTTTGAGGGTTGCTTTAATTGCTGGGGTTTGCTTAAGGCCAAATGTAGTCCTTCGATGCAGTGAATTGAGAATGCCACATATCCCTCTTGCCACCTTTATTCTGATTAAAAATCTGTTGCACGCTGTTGGTTTGGTTATTCTGCTGGATATTAACAGTAGTAGCAGTAAGTGGCATTGCAGTATGTTAAGTTCTGTCCAAATTTAGATGAAGCATTTCCTGCCCAGAACATTTTTGTACTGTGCACTGTATGTTCAGTTTTGTGGACAAAAGTGGCTGGTAATACATTTGCAGCAGTTGTCAAGAGTATTGTTCTGTCTTTTAAAATTAAAATTATGGAACGTTGCCGTGTCCCTGTGTCTTCTAAAATGCATTATAGTGAACTATTAAAATGTCTTTTAGAGATATCCAGTTATCTCTGAGGCAAACTCATTATTCACTGCCTATAAATGAAGTAATACTAGAGGTGGGACTGCACTGATAGTCTTTCTCTCTGTTTTTGTCTTCAGTTCTACAGCTTACATATTTTTAATGCTTATTTTTGTTTCATATACATTACACCAATTTTGTATCTAAGAAACTAGGAAATGCACTGTTCTTTTCTCCTCTGCTAGAGGATTATTTTGTCTGTGCCTTGACACTGTGCATTCAGTTCCTTCCCTCCGTCTCCAGATCTCCTCCCTGACCCCTAGTTCAAGGTGCTGCCTAACTGTAAAATCCAGGTACGTTCAAAACACAACTTCTCTGTAATTAATGGTCCGGATTTCTTAAGATAAAAGGCACAAAACCCCTTGGATTATTTTCTCCAACTCATATTTGGAACTGAGTCACGCTCACTTCAACTTAACCACTCAGTGCTGAGGTCTCTTCACCTCCTCTGAGTGTACCAGTTTCCCAGGTTTGTTACCTTATACCCTTTGTTGTCATTAATTATGTTACGCAGTCTGACTCAGGCTCTTAGGTAAGTACTGAGCTGTGACAAAACACCACACTGCAGTCATTCAGCACGGAGCTGCCAGGGTCAGGAGTGCTGTCATCAGAGCTGTGAGGTTTTCCTAGAAGGGATGATCTGAACTTCAAAAAAAAAGGGGATATACAACTTTTGTCTCTCTCTCTGCAGATGGAGGTGATTATGAGGTGTGTGATGGCAGGGAGTGTTCTCATTAAACCTGTAGATTCTTGTGGAGGTTTGGGGGAAACCTGCAGGCCATGCAGAGAATTGTTTGGGGCTCCTGAGAAATCGCAGTGGTCTTGTTGCAAAAGATGTCACATGGTAGAAACGTGAATAATTTTCTGTTCTAAAATGATGGAAGCTTTTTGCTTGTTGAAATCACATTCAAAACAAGATGTTATCTCCAGACTGATGCAGATGCCTCCAGCCCCTGGCTGGGTGCCCACAGTGATCTGTCAGTTCTGGAGCAGGAGAGGAAAGGAGACTGACTCACTGCAGGTTGCGCTCCTTGGTTGTGCTGCCTCTAATCCTCTCCACCCAATTTGTGCTTTTATCAGGATTTGCATTTTGATAGCAGTGGTTGGTAGGATTAGTAGCTATGCCAAAAAGAGCCACGATGAAAGTCAAGTAAGAGTCCAGCCTGCACGATTGTGAGGGAGGTAAGTAAATTCTATCTGAAACATTTTTTAATCATTTTTTTTATTTTTAAAAAGTGGAATGGTGTAGGTACTGCACCTTGCTTACACAACATGATTTTTTTCTAGAACCGAAGCCTACTGGAGTATATTTGAATATTTAGAATGTGTTTGGACATACAAATGCTGGGCTAAAGCCAGTAATACTAACTCTCTCATTCATTCTTCTCCCAAAAGGCAAATCTGCCTCATTCCTGCAGTCCACACCTGCATGCTGATCTGACTCCTGGTCAGAGATGGCACATGGGGTTTGTCAGTTTCCCATTCCTCCCCACAAAAACGTTTCACAGAAAATGCCAGAAAGCTTGTGTATTTAATAAAGAGCAGCTTTTGCTAATCGCAGGACTTTAGCAGATGTTCTGTGTAGAACTATAACTGGCAATCCAATCACTCATGCACTTCCATCCACTTAATTCAATTTCCTTATTTCCTTTAGAGGACTGGTGATTGCAATCACTTTTCTGATGCAGCAATCATCAAGCCCCACTCTTATTCACCCAGACGTGAAAGATGGCTGCATGTACCGATTCTGCACCTAAAATGGAGCAGCAACAGATTGGAGTTGCAGAAATAGAACAATCAGACCCTTGAATTTATTTATTATTTGTTTGAAAAAAATTATTGGAAATCGTTGATGTGCTTTTTGATTGAGTAAAAGGGCTGGTGAAATGACCTGTTCACCTTTGCATTCATGCTACGCATGCACATGTGCCAAGGCACCAGTGGCCACAGCAGTATGTACATAGATGTGTCCTCGGGCTGGCTGTTCTGCAGGTGCCACTTAAGGCAGGAAGAGATTTGGTGTGCTGTGTCTTAGTTTCTGTAACCACCAGTGTTCTTCAAACAAGAAAGGAAACAGCTGTATCCATAAGCATGTTGGTTCTTACTCACTTTGCTCCTTTTATAGTTGATCAAGGATGACTTTTTGGTTTGGGTAGGTTTGGAACAGAAATGCTGTTTATTTCTATGATTTCGTCACCCAAACAGTCCTTGCATCTTGGAAACTCTTGGATAGCTCAAAGGAAGGCTTCCTGTTCCTCCGAGTGCCCATCCTCACAAACTTGGCAGCACCCCTTGCATCTGAATCTTCTTTGCCTTTGGCATCATCTCTGAGGTCAGTCTTTGCCTTGGCTGTGCCATGCTTTCATGCTTGCTCTTGGGTGTTTGGTAAGGCTCCTCACCATCTCAGAAACAGCCCACCTTCTCCACTTTAGTGCTCTTGCACTTCAGTATTCTGTTAGTTTTTGCTAGCAACTGTCAAAATGAACACTTTGCTTTACAGTTAAACAAGCATTTGTCTGAAACAAAAAGGGCCATGCTTTGAATGAGCAGCACAGACACTGAAATGCTGTTCAGTGTCATGGTTTTGTGATTTTTGGTTATCGGTATTCCACATCACAACATCATGTAGGGCACTGGGAGTTTAACTGTTATTGCTTAAGTTCTGGGTACCTGCTCGGAAGAGAAGAAGAACTACATTCCCCAGGGGACTTTGTGGTCACAGAGAGGAGATACAACTCCTGGCAAGGTCACCTGATGTGCTCTTCTTTGTACGCTCTTCTTCATGGGTTCTCCTCCAGTCTCCCTGCTGCTCACCTGGACTGCGCATCTCACCTCAGCGTTTTGGTGAGGCATATCCACCTTTCAAACATTCTCTCTCTCATTATATTTGATTGATTAGCTTCAGTTCTAATTATATTGTATTATGGTGTGTTATCTTGCATTCCGATACTATATTTAGTAAATTAGTTTTGTTTCTCTTCAGATCGTTGCTGCTATTTTTAATTAGTTTGGGGTCCCCTGTTTCCCTTTTCCGGAGGCGCGGATTTTGCAAAATCCCTTTGCCTGCTAGTCACGGAACCGGGCCAAACCAGCCCGTAAAACATTGACATTCAGTCATGAGGGATTACCCACCTGACACTTTAAGCAAATGTCTGAAGCTGGAACTCACACTTTTCAACACTTTTCCCTCCTTTTGGGTTTGTATTCTTCACGCGCAGTGTAGATTCTTTGCAGAGGATGGGCAAGATTGTGGATTTCAAAACAACACTGCAGAACTGTATCTTATTTTTTATTGCCTCCTATCACTTTTCATTAAGCAGTGATTTTTTTTTTGTTGTTACTGTTAAATAATGAGTTGCAAAGAACTATTTTCACACAGCTGGAGATGATGAATCCTTAATGAAGTCTTCCTGTGGGGAATGTTCCACTGCCATCAGACCAGCGGCCCGAGCTATCTCTGGGATGGAAAGGGAAAGGAATCTACTACTCCAACTCACTGGACATGAAACACCAGGTAAAAGCATGTCTTTCTATCGAGCATATAGCCTTCAGTAATTATCACCCATTTTCTATGTTGCTCACTGTTCTGTTATCAAATTCCCCCTGGCAATGACTCCCATACACCTGCCATGAGCTGTTTTCTTCTGGTTCTGCTGAAAGCAGTTACTTGTGTCACCTTCGGCTTATGCTGTGTGTCTGAGATGGACCTTATTATAATGGATTTGACATAAGACACAAGTCTTTTGGAGAGTGGCTGATGAGAGATAATGGCTTCAAGTTGTGCCAGGGGAGGTTCTGATTGAGTATTAGGGAGAACTTCTCAGGAGGAGGAAAGGGACAGTGACACAGGCTGCCCAAGGAGGTGGTGGAGTCACCATCCCTGGAGGTGCTCAAGAGCTGTGTGGATGTGGCACTCAGGGATAGGGTTAGTGATGGCTAGCCTAGATAGATAAGATGGTCTTAGAAGTCTTCTGCAGCCTTAATGAGTATGTTCTATTCTGTTCTGTTGAAAGACATGGTTGGGTTGCTGTGCACTTGTAGCACGGATATTGACTTTTGATTTAAATTGTTGAGAGAGGTATTTTGATCCAACTTCTACGTTAATCACTAAACATTATAGCTAAGAGGACTGTTAGAGCACTATTTCTTTGCAAAACAATATTTTATTAATAAAAGACTTATAAAACGGAAGAAAGAATTTTACACTGAATGAAAAATCCAAAATAAACCCCAGGAGGTGTACCTCAATTCTTTGATGTCTGTACAAGAAGTTCTATTGGGTAGTAATCCTACGTACACATTTCTCTAAAGATACTCTTAGAAAGTACAAAAAAGCATCATGCATACGCCCATGCAGAGCAGCTACACAGACATAATGATACACACAACAACTCTGTACATCAGTGATTAAAAAGCCATGCTTTCTGTAGCACCGAGGATTATCTGGATAAAAAATTCACTGGCAAAATGCTAGCCCTGTAATTCTGAATTAAGGACATGACTGGCCGATTTCTGCTTGCAGTTTCATCTCTTCTTTTCTCAAGGGAAAATTGTCAATAAGTGCAAAGAGCTCAGCTGGTGTTGCCGGGAATGGGTAGCGTTCCTTGTCCATTCCATGCTTGTCCATCACCACAATGTTGAAATTATAATGGGGGATTCTCAGCAACAGCCTATCCCAAGAGCAAAAGTAAACAAGACAAAAGAGTATTTTCAGTATCAGTATACAGATATTGACTTTGGAAAAAAAAACCAAACAACCCAAACCATTCTATAATTCTGTGGTATGATTCTATGATGGTGATGGGGCTAAAGAGTTTTAAGTAGACAATTCTGTTTCTTTGCTGCCGTGTCGTACAAAATCGTGATAAGAAAAAGCAGAACGAAATGACTTAAGTCAG